TGTTACCCTTGTTACCCCTGTTACCCCTGTTACCCCTGTTACCCCTTGTTACCCTTTGTTACCCCTTGTTACCCTTGTTACCCTTGTTTCCCCTATTACCCTAGTTACTCCTTGCTACCCCTGTTAACCCTTGTTACCCCTGTTACCCCTTGTTAACCCTTGTTACCCCTGTTACCCTTGTTACCCCTGTTACCCCTTGTTACCCCTGTTACCCCTTGTTACCCTTGTTACCCTGTTACCCCTGTTACCCTTTGTTACCCCTGTTACCCCTTGTTACCCCTGTTACCCTTGTTACCCTTGTTACCCTTGTTACCCCTTGTACCCCTTGTTACCCTTGTTACCCTTGTTACCCCTGTTACCCCTTGTTAACCCTTGTTACCCCTGTTACCCTTGTTACCCCTGTTACCCCTTGTTACCCCTGTTACTCCTGTTACCCCTTGTTACCCCTTGTTACCCCTTGTTACCCCTGTTACCCCTTGTTACCCTTGTTACCCCTGTTACCCCTTGTTACCCTTGTTACCCCTTGTTACCCTGTTACCCCTGTTACCCCTTGTTACCCCTTGTTACCCCCTTGTTACCCTTGTTACCCCTGTTACCCCTTGTTAACCATTGTTACCCCTGTTACCCTTGTTACCCCTGTTACCCCTTGTTACCCCTGTTACTCCTGTTACCCCTTGTTACCCCTGTTACCCCTTGTTACCCTTGTTACCCTGTTACCCCTTGTTACCCTTGTTACCCCTTGTTACCCTTGTTACCCTTGTTACCCTTGTTACCCCTTGTTACCCCTGTTACCCCTTGTTACCCCTGTTACCCTTGTTACCCCTTGTTACCCTTGTTACCCCTTGTTACCCCTTGTTACCCTTGTTACCCCTTGTTACCCTTGTTACACCTTGTTACCCTTATTACACCTTGTTACCCCTTGTTACCCTGTTACCCCTTCTTACCCCTGTTACCCTTTAGTACCCTTGTTACGCTTGTTACCCCTTGTTACCCTTGTTACCCCTTGTTACCCCTGTTACCCCTTGTTACCCCTGTTACCCTTGTTACCACCCTGTTACCCCTTGTTACCCTTGTTACCCCTGTTACCCCTTGTTACCCCTTGTTACCCCTGTTACCCCTTGTTACCCCTGTTACCCCTGTTACCCCTTGTTACCCTTGCCCTTTACCCCTGTTACCCCTTGTTACCCCTGTTACCCCTTGTTACCCCTTGTTACCCCTTGTTACCCCTGTTACCCCTGTTACCCTTGTTACCCCTGTTACCCCTGTTACCCCTTGTTACCCCTGTTACCCCTTGTTACCCTTGTTACCCTTGTTACCCTTACCCCTTGTTACCCCTGTTACCCCTTGTTACCCTTGTTACCCCTGTTACCCCTGTTACCCCTTGTTACCCTTTGTTACCCCTGTTACCCCTCTTACCCCTTGTTACCCCTGTTACCTCTTGTTACCTCTTGTTACCCCTTGTTACCCCTGTTACCCTTGTTACCCCTTGTTACCCCTTGTTACCCCTTGTTACCCTTGTTACCCCTGTTACCCTTGTTACCCTTTGTTACCCCTGTTACCCCTTGTTACCCCTGTTACCTCTTGTTACCTCTTGTTACCCCTTGTTACCCCTGTTGCCCCTGTTACCCTTGTTACCCCTGTTACCCCTTGTTACCCTTGTTACCCCTGTTACCCCTTGTTACCTTTGTTACCCCTGTTACCCTTGTTACCCTTGTTACCCTTGTTACCCCTTGTTACCCCTGTTACCCCTTGTTACCCCTGTTACCCTTGTTACCCCTTGTTACTCCTTGTTACCCCTGTTACCCCTTGTTACCCTTGTTACCCTTGTTACCCCTGTTACCCTTTGTTACCCCTGTTACCCCTTGTTACCCCTGTTACCTCTTGTTACCTCTTGCTACCCCTTTTTACCCCTGTTACCCCTGTTACCCTTGTTACCCCTGTTACCCCTTGTTATCCTTGTTACCCCTTGTTACCCCTTGTTACCCTTTGTTACCCCTTGTTAACCCTTGTTACCCCTTTTACACCTGTTACCCCTTGTTACCCCTGTTACCCCTGTTACCCCTTTTTACCCCTGTTACCCCTTGTTACCCCTGTTACCCTTTTTTGCCCTTTGTTACCCTTGTTACCCCTTGTTACCCTTGTTACCTCTTGTTACCCCTGTTACCCCTTTTACCCTTGTTACCCCTGTTACCCCTTGTTACCCCTTGTTACCCCTTGTTACCCCTTTTACCCCTTTTACCCCGTTTACCCCTTGTTACCCTTGTTACCCCTCGTTACCCTTTGTTACCCCTTGTTAACCCTTGTTACCCCGGTTACCCTTGTTACCCCTGTTATCCCTTTTTACCCCTGTTTTTCCTGTTACCCCTTGTTACCCCTGTTACGCCTTGTTACCCCTTGTTACCCTTGTTAACCCGGTTACCCCTTGTTACCCGTTGTTACCCTTGTTACTCCTTGTTACCCTTGTTACCCCTTGTTACCCCTGTTACCCCTTGTTAACCCTAGTTACTCCTTGTTACCCCTTGTTACCTCTTTTTACCTCTTGGTCCCCCTTGTTACCCTTGTTACCCCTTGTTACCCTTGTTACCCCTGTTACCCTTTGTTACCCCTGTTACCCCTTGTTACTTCTTGTTACCCCTGTTACTTCTTGTTACCCCTGTTACCCATTGTTACCCCTTGTTTCCCCTTTTTACCCCTGTTACCCTTGTTACCCCTGTTACCCCTTGTTACCCCTGTTACTCTTTTTAATCCTTGGTACCCGTGTTACCCCGTGTTACCCCTTGTTACCCGTTGGTACCTTCTTTACCCTTGTTGCCCTGGTTACCGTTTGTTACCCCTGTTCCCCCTGTTACCCCTTGTTACCCCTTTTTCCCCTTTGTTACCCCTTGTTATCCCTTGTTACCCCGGTTTTCCTTGTTACTGCTTGTTACTTCCTGTTATTCTTTGTTACCCCTTTTTACCCCCGTTACCCCTGTTGCGCCTGTTTCTCTTGTTACCTCTTGTTACCCTTGTTATCCCTTGTTACTTCTTCTTACCTTTGTTACCCTGTCTTTCCCCTTGTTACCCCTTTTTCCCCTTGTTACGCCTTGTTAGCACTTGTTTCCCTTGTTACCCCTTGTTCCCCTTGTCAGCCCTTGTTACCCCTGTTTCCCTTGTTACCCTGTGTTACTCCTGTTACTTCTTTTTCCCCTTGTTACCCCTTGTTACCCCTTGTTCCCCTTGTCATTCCTTGTTACCCCTGTTTCCCTTGTTACCCTTTGTTACCCCTGTTACCCCTTGTTACCCTTGTTACCCTTTGTTACCCCTTGTTACCCTTGTTACCCCTCTATTTCTTTTACGCTTGTTACCCCTTGTTACCCCTTGTTCCTCTGGTTACTCTTTGTTACCTCTTGTTACCCCCATCACCTCTTGTGACCCCTGTTTCCCTTGTTGCCGCTTGTTACCCTTGTTATCCCTTCCTACCCGTTCTTTCCTTTGTTACCCTTTGTTACCCCTGGTTACCCCTCTTAACCCTTGTTACCCCTTGTTCCCCTTGTTACCCCTTATTACCTGTGTTCCCCTTGTTCCCCTTGTTACCTCTTGTTACCCCTTGTTACCCCTTGTACCCCTTGTTCTCCTTATTACCCCTTGTTACCCTATGTTACATCTTTTTACCCTGTGTTACCATTTGTTGCCCTGTTGTACTCTGTGTTACCCTTTGTTACCCCGTGTTACCGTTTGTTACCTTTTGGTAGCCTTTGTTTCCCTGTGTTACCCTTGGCTACCCTGTGTTACCCTTTGTGACCCCTTGTTACCCTGTTTTACCCTTTGTTGCCCTGTGGTACCCTTTGTTATCCTTTTTATCCCTTTGTTACCCTGAGTTGCCCTTTATTATCCTGTGTTATTCCTTGTTACTCTTTGTTACCCTGTCTTACCCTGTGTTACCGTGTGTTACTCTTTCTTACCCTGTGTTACCCTTAGAGCTCAGCCTTGTGAAGTGTAGTTATTGGTCTGATACATTACACGCTATTGTTGAATGTGGAAGTGCATTTATTTAGGGTATTGGTAAAGCCGGAATGCAAATGTTAGTTGACTACCCCCTGCTCTTTACATATATGGTGGTAATATTGATGTAAGTGTTGTTTTGAGGAGCAAAGGAACCCTTGTATGTAACTCATCTTTTAGTACAGTCGACTCTCTCTTAACGGACACCTCTATAAGACGGACACCTCCATAAAATGGACACCTAGAGTTGGTCCCTGCCTTTCTTTACTCCCTTTATTTGACTCTCTATAAGACGGTCTCCTCTCTAAGACGGACACTTAGTACCGGTCCCAAAGGTGTCCGTCTTAGAGAGAGTTGACTGTATATTTAACAGAACATCTCCGTCTCTCCTGCACACATTTGTTGTTGATACTGTGCTCAACTTTCCAATGCCATTCCAGATAATTCTTACTTACACCAACACATCCCGAGTAAACGCCTTCAGGCGTCTTCTTGTTATTCATGAATCAGGATAAAATTTTAATATAAATTTAATTTTGAACTGTAACATTATATGCTGGAAAGATGTTTATTAAAACTCCATTAGCAATACGCACCTTGAACCTTCATGTTAAAGACTAACCAGTATTTTAGTTCCAATCATTGAATTGGTGTCAGTTGAAAGGCCAAAGCTAAAGCTAACCATTATTGGAACGACACTCTGTAAACCATGCCTCTTTAAACTATGCTTTGGTTGCTATGGTTACAGGTCTTGTCTGAAACTCAGTTTGAGCGAGTTGGTGGTACAAGCATGGGAGGAGGAACGTTCTGGGGCCTGGGCTCTCTGCTCACCAAAGCCAAGGTACTTTTCTTGCGGGACAATTAAGCAATTCCTTATCTCATACACATCCGTTTCTTGTGCCGTCACATAACGCTTCTCCTGTGGGGAAGAACGTTGCGTGACAACACAAACAACGGCTGCGTACTAGGCAATAGGTACCTTAAGATCTGACGATGCGACGGAAACGAAAACGTCAAAAAAAACAATAACAACTTCAGGAGAGTTTGACAAAGTAAGTGGGTAAGAATAATCGCGATAAAAATTGAAAGAACGCAAATTCACTTTTTTAAGCGACATTTTCGCTGCCATCGCGTCCTTTGATATTAAAGTCCCCAATGCCAAGCGGGCATTACGCTCGCTCTTGTATAGTAGTTAACGAGAACACAGGCCTCGCTGCATCTTCCCGCTTCCGAAGCTTACCATATGGTAATAAATGTTATTTAATTTGCAGGGTTTTGATGATTTACTAGAGCTGGCGACAAAGGGGCGCCACCAGAACGTGGACATGCTGGTATGACAGATTGGTTTTCTCAGACTTTGAAGATTTTTTTAGATATTTTTCAAGACTAATATATTTTTTTTACATCGCTACAAGTCGTTTCGCTGCAACCAAGTTTGTGTATTAAACAGTTTAAAACAATTTAGAATGAACTACAAACGGGTTAAGTTAGCGAAACGACTTTACAACTTTGCAGCGAATCGACGTCATTATGCAGCGAAACGACCATACTCCGATGGTATGGCGGGCTACGGGCTCTCTCCACTTCGTAACTTCGTGCTCTCATATCGAATAAAAAATTCCTAGGCGTTACTAAATCTTACTACGAACATTCTCAAATATCTTGTATCCAATTTTCATTGAATGAAGGCTAAAGGAAGGGACAATTTGCAACTGATTTTAGCTATGGAGGAAATAGAAGATAAACAGAAGCTGATAAAGATAAAATTCAAAGCGAGGTGGTAACTCAGTGCGACGTAACGCCTTCTGGTTAAGGACTGCGTTCAGTTTTTTATTTGTTGTTGTTGTTTTCGCGGTTCAGTGTTTTTAAACTTTGGTTCAGTTTTTAGTCACAGCATGGAAATCAATCGGCATCTAACTTCTTCTTATAATATCGAATACATTATCCAAACGGAAGGTGAAGGGAATTGGCGAATTTCAATGCCAGAGGATGATCAAAACCCAAATTCTCTAAACTAATATACGGTAAAATATATAGCATCCAGAAAGAAGAATTACTAATCACATCTTGAACGTCTATTGCCCAGGTGAGAGACATCTACGGTGGCGCGTACGATACATTGAAACTACCAGGAGATCTAACAGCGAGCAGCTTTGGAAAAACGGTGCGATCTCCGCGGGATGAACACCACGGTTTGTATTAACTTATTTTTACTTCTTACAGGGGTAGAATTAAAAGTTCGCGCGTTAAGGACGTCGTTTCCTTACAGGACTCTTACAACAGAGATAAAGCTTGTTTAATTATGGTTTCTTTTTCCCTTTTAGCTGGACAGTTCGCCGAAGCAGACATTGCTAAGAGTCTTTTACATATGATCAGTAACGACATAGGCCAGGTAAGGTGAAGTACAAGTCTTAATGTGCATGTGGAAAGGTACTCAGGCAGCTTACATTCTGTCAGAGCCGGTCGGCAATACAAGGCCTGTTGTAGAGAGAACAGGAAGCTTAAGCAATCACGATGACAGCGACAAGAACGTCAACTTTGAACGTTGACTTTGCTAAATACAGTGATATATCAACAGTACGAGGGGATAGCGCTCGGAAAGGATCAACAGCGACTTCCGGTGCCCAATTTCCCGCGCTGTCATTGGTCAAGCCAACAGATTTTCCTTTCTAGAGGTTTATAGTTTTATAGCTAGAGCCCCCCTCCCCCCCGCCCCCCGAGAGCTTGATCGCAGGTTTATACTTTTGTTTTGTCCAATTTTAGATTGCCTCGCTTTATGCCAAGCTGAATGGCTTAAAGAAAATCTACTTTAGTGGTTATTTCATCCGCGGTAATCCAGTCACGATGCATACTATCTCCTACGGCATCAACTACTGGTCCAAGGTAAGCATGCTTTAGTTTTCTTTGGGAGTGAAACGTTTATCAAATATCTGTCAAAGAGTTGTAGGAGACAGTGCCATTAACTTTGCTGGTTTCTTTTATTTTGAAAATAGTTCTTTGTGCCCAAAACACCTTTTTAAGTAGTAAAGTGGTGTGGGAATTATCCGTTTTTTGTGTTGGCGTTTCACTGGTACTGATGTATACATGGGGAATTTTTCAGGGAACTCAACAGCCTTTATTTCTGAGACACGAAGGTTATCTTGGTGCTATTGGAGCGTTCTTAAAAGGAGCTGATGAAGACGGTACGTTTAAGTCCCTTTTTGTACATCATCATGTGTTTCAAAAACTCATCAAAATAATAAGAAGGATATAAAATTAGCCTATCAAATTGGAAAACACACACCACAGGGGAATTGTCACTTGCCCTAAGAGCACATTTTTCATTTTTCATCTTTTATTCATTATTATTTTCGATTTAAGAATACCGTGTGTGAATTACCTTCTTCCTTTCACGAACACCCTCAGTGCGATAGGCACTTTTTGGTGTTTCTTGCTGACACGATTGTTGTCCAGTTTTATGTATATTCCATCCTTCCCCGCAGCGCCCGCGCTGAAAATCGTTGCTCATTGGTTCATGGCAGGAGCTCTTAACCCGGAACTCCCATACTGAGCCTATGTCATGGCGTTTTTACGGACCAGTTTATTTTTAGATACATTTTAGGGTACTTTTTCTCGCGAAAATAGAATCTGCACCATGTCTATGAGCGCATTTGAAGTATAAGATATCAAAAAGGAAAAATAAAAATATATACCATTTTTAGGTCTGTAGGTTTTGCTAACTGGCTTGTGGAATTTAAAAGATACTCAAAATTCGCGCAAAACCATTCTAAAAGTAAACTTGGAAGTTGCTCACTCCGGGTTATTGCCTCCTTTTCGTGGCCATCATCACTAATCTGTGTAACCTTAATTATTCAACATTTACAGTTGACTTTTCTGTAAGCAAACTTAACGGTTTGACATGGAGAGAGAACTATGCAGGAAGTTCTGGTCTGTCAGCTGCAAAACGGCCTGCTGATTTGATGAGTGCAAGGAATGCTGATTCTGTTAGGGTAAGCTGTATTGGTTTGAGACTTTTGAGTATATCGTCAACTTCATTAAGATATCCAGTGTTTTAGACTCGACAGATCACGAAATAAGAGTTTACTGAAAGGTAGTCTCCTTCGCAGCCGCTTGAACCGTAGTCACGCAATGCTCCTCGCTCCAACGCGTGGGGGCGGGGAGCATTGCGTGACTCCTACCCTAGCGGCGGCAAAGTCACGCAATGCTCCCCGGTTACAAAACCTGTGGTTGTAGACTTTTTCATTTTTCCAAAAATCCTTAGGTTTTTGGATTATTTTAACTTAGAAAATTAGATCTTAAAGCTTAGCTCTATTTTATCATTTTAAAAAAGACAAAATAAAATCAGAGTTTTCTTCATAAATTAGGCTGATTTAGCGACAGAACGGGAACCCCAGTTGACGACGGCGCGTGTAAATCAAACTACAGGCTTGACCAATGGCAGAGCGGCAAATTGAGCACCGGAAGTCGTGTTTAGTCCTTTCTGCGCGCTTTCTCTTCGTCAACTGACGTTCCCGTCTTGTTGCTAAATCAGCCAATTGTCAAAGCTAAGGTGAATCGGCTACCATGAAAAGATTCAAAACCTGACGTTTCGAGCTTTTCTATCTCATCACAGTGGCAAAATTACGTTATCAACTCAGTCATAACTGAGCTAAATTATTCAGTTTTAAGGGCTGTCTATGAAAGGCATTCCTGTGGTTTAATTCATTCATTTATTCATGTATTTCAGTGTGACGTTTTAGAGATGGATCAATTTACTCACACGCTCGTTCCATTCCCTCTCCTCGCTTCCCCCGGAGACTACTTCCCTGACACCCAGGACCTCACGGTTGATACTGAGGCGAGAGAATATTGGTTACAATGCTTCGAAGACGCGTTGGACAAAGTAAGGTTGATTGTTTTAAAATCTCTTGGGCTTTATTTTAGTGTTCTCGATTTCTGCCTTATTGAAGCAAACTTCGGGCAGACTTTCGGATTGGAATGCATCATTTAAACGTTGAGTTCACCGATTAATTGACCACTGTTCAAACGGGGGGTCAAGTTAACTTTTACTTCTGGGAACTTCTGGCACTGTTAGTAGTGGGGGGAAACAAGTGGCCAATAGCTGACCGGCGCGTCCCCAGTACCAACCCTCAAACAATTGCGGGACATATTTCGGCTCCGGTCTTCTTGTCGTTTCTAAAGTAGCGAATGTAGCGAATATTAAAAGACTGTAAACAAATCTATGGTGTTCGTTTTTAGCGCAAGTTCAACGAATTCAGTGTTATGCTCACTTCTATTTAATGCCTTTAGGTTGTCGAGCGAGCAATAGCCTGCCAACCTGAGTCCACGGATGCCAAAGAAAGAGCAGAAAAGTTTCGCAAGAAATTTTGTCTTCGTCTGAATGTTCTCAAGCAACAGCCTGCGTGAGTTTCTTATAAAATTCATTCTTTTGCCTCTGCTCCTAATGTTCCTAATTTAATCGGCATTTGCCACTCTAAAAACAAGAAGAGGACTGGCGGTGAATGTCCCGCAATGGTTCCTGGGATCGTTACTGGTGACGTGTCGGTCAGCTATTGGCCAATTTTTCCCCGTCCCTTGTAACAGTCCCAGAAGTCTTAACGAATGTAAACTCGTCCCAGTTTCTTTCTCGTTTCTAAAGTGGCGAATTGCTCAGCTAATGTGGCGAGTTGTTTCCTTTTCTTTTCGTCACAGGGCTTACGGAACATTGAATGTACGCAGTTTGTTAGACGTCAGAGAACAGTACCTCAACGAGTTTAGCTTTCCTGATCCTTACGCAGAGGTAATGACTCAAGCGGATTCATCGATTATGAACTTTCATCTCAGGCTAAGTTGATCTGACGCCTTTTCAATACGCATCGTTTTATCGCTCAGTGGTGACCCACCACAGAGCGGCAAACAAGCCATTTTAGACATGTGCGATTTAGTTTTGAATAATCGTTCCCCGTCTTTTATTGTTAATCCAGTTTCCTTTGCCGTTTTTCCGTCAGGTAAAACAACAAGAAAACGAGGCTGCCCTTCTTCTCTTGTCCAAACGACTTGAAGAATTAGACACGTTGCCATGGGAACTGCGGCAGCGTGCTTTGGTAAAAGGAGTAATAGCAGGAAACTTTTTCGACTGGGGTGCAAAGGAAGTCGCTAAGTAACTAAACCTTCAAGATGTTATAACTTAATGCGATATTCTGAAACGAAGACAAAATTTCAAAACATATTACAAACAACTGCATCTGTAAAAACACACATTAATTTTACTGCTCCACTCATAAAGAAATTTAAAGCTTAAATTCCTTCGAGTATTCCTCATTCTAAGCCCTTTTTCTCGCCTTTTTACCCACTGCCTGTTTTTCACTTCAGTTTCCGGTCATTTTAAAAACAAACCATCCACCTTCATACACAAACCGTCCCCTGGCCCTTGCTTTTTAAAATCAAACCTTTTTTCGCCTTTTTCAAGGAACGTCTAAAATGCTTTTATCCGAACAACTTTTTTCTTCTTTAGACTCATGGAAGAAGGTCATTTTGACTTTGGCTCAGCAATGAAGAAGTTGCAAGGTAATATAACGCGATTATACCCAGTATTTTTTGACAGTACCTTCTCCAGAACTCTATATACTCAAATATGTTTCTGCTAAACATTTAAATTTGCATTTAGCCCGGCCGTGGTTGAAAGATGACCTGCATGCGTGGATTGAGCGATTAAAGGTCAGTCTTCTTTTAAATAGCTCAGTCGCGTGTCCCTTATGGCAACGTAATTGTATTGTATTATTCACTGACGAACGCATCTGCAGTTTTAGTAGTCTACTCGACTTTTTTATTGCAGGGACCTCCTCATAAATTGGCTGTCGTATTTGTGGACAACAGCGGCGTGGATATTATATTAGGAATGTTTCCTTTTATCAGAGAACTCCTTTCACGTGGAACAAAGGTATAGTAGCTATTTGAAGCTGTCCTATAGCTAAAAGCCAGCGGAAAATAAGAAGCCTTCGTTTCGTAAGGTTGGGAAATATCGTGCACTTGCGGGGAGAGACTGAACTGGGGGCCAAACGAGATTGAGCGGTTTTTTAATCTGCTGAACAATGCCACCGAAAGCAAGGAAAAGAAAAATAGAACCTCTTTCTCAGGAATGGAAATAAAGCTTTATTACTAAGTTGCTTGCAAACTAGCAAGCTTTATTGGCAGGTTTTTGGAGGCTTGTTGACGTGTTTGTTACTCTTTTTTCTTGTCATGCCCTTACAAAACATTTTATATAAGATTTGCGTGATGCGTGACTATTTTGCGTGACATTTTCAGGTAGTTATGGCTGCCAACTCATACCCAGCCCTTAATGATGTTATGTTCAGTGAACTTGTAATTCTAACCGAGAGTGTAGCAGATTTATGCCCCGAAATAAGGTATGCTTGGCTATTGTTTTCTGTGATTGACAAGTGAGAAACAGATACTGACTCTGGTATTGATCTATCATCATCACCATCATCGTCATTTCATCATTATCGTCGTCACTCTCAACACCATCAACGCCGTCATCCTCTCATCATCTTCCACTGCACTTTATTTGAGTATCAATGCCTAAAGTGAGAATGAACTGACTGAATGAACTATATTTTTACGTCTCCTACTAAAGACTCGACCGTCATTTTACGTGATCATTCGAGACACGCGAAGGTCTAGCTGTGAGCAAGGCAAAAAGCAAATAATACTCTGGGTACTGTTCCCGTTCCAAGGATCAAACCCACCACCTCCCGCTCTGCAGACAAATCCTCTAACGACTTAGCTAGTCCTGCCGCGGTCTATATATTTATCGTACGACTATCAAATTAGGGAAATCATTGTAGAGATAAAAAACAGGAAGTATTTCCAACAGAATTACTTTAAGTATAGTCATATGCATATATAGACTAATTTCTACTGTTTGGTTTCGTTGTGTCGCTAACTACTAGAGCCCTGTTACCCACTTGCTAAAATGTTACTATAAATGTTTACCTGTCCTAGGGCTGCATATAAGGAAGGACGCTTAGTTCCCATGGAGTCAGGAATCGGATCCCCCTGTTTAGACTGCAGGTATGTCGATGTCTTTTTAACAAGTCTTCTACTCATCGCAAGACCGAATACATCTTCTTCTAAACATACCACCTGATGTAAACTATGTTTATGCTATTATTTGTTATTATGATTTAATGCTTGTTCCACCCGCAAAGTCCATTTTGTTTAGTTTGTTTCCAGTTATTTACGCACCCTTTCTCGCCATGGAACTAAACGGTAGTTAAGAAATTACTCATAAATGATACTGTTATATGGCTGGAAATTTTTCCTAAAAGTGTGCGCTCTCATTGGTTACTTCGAGGTCACATGACATCAAACTATTAAACTTTTTCCCGCCAACATTGCAACATCTTTGACGTCAGAGAGTAACAGTGCACTGTTACCCGGGAATGTTGACCGACGACCGCCGTTACAGCGAGGTTTAATGAATTAAAACAAATCACTTAATGGCTGGTCCCAAGGGAAACACTTAATTTTGTTTCCCGAGAATCTCAATGTTTCTAGAGGCGGAGCCGAGGAAAACATTGTGATTCTCGGGAAACAAAATTAATTGTTTCCCTCGGGACCAAAACATTGTGAAATATGGAAGAAAGGCCAATTTAAGCACTAAAACCTGCTTCGACATCTCAGAATTACAAAAAAACTAGAGAAATTGCTCAAAATGCAAAAAGTTGCTCGGAACGAAAAAAGTTGCTCGAAATACGAGAAGTTGCTAAAAAGTTGTCGAACAACTTGTGGAAAACCCTAACTTCAAATATAGTTTGCTAGTGAACAAAAAAAACAGTTGGGGTGAATAGCCAAGAACGTGGAACGATTTACACCTCGAATTAATAAATTTACATCGAAACGACTTGTATAGAAACAACTTTGTATCAAAACGACCGTTAACCTGTGTCACGGCGTTCTCGCTCATTTTGTTGTTATTGCCAATTACGCTTCCTTATGCGCTATGGAAGTTAAAGTTAACGAAGAAATTACTTGTAAACGAAAAAAACTTAGCTTCTTTTCCCAACAAATATACTTTTCACGAGGGGGTAAACACCGGGTAGTTACCATTTTAATGAAAAAAACCGGATATTTCGGTTGGAAAATCAAATGGTTCGCGCCATTCCGTTTGGGAAGCTTCAGAAATATGGGCTGTGATTTTAGGCGATGCAATTTTTCTACTCTTTTTAGTCTGTTCAGCTGATTTGGAAAGTACTTTGTGGCGGGTTGTGCTCCCACAACATCAAATTTTACACTTTTATGTTTAAGCAAAGGATTTCCACCCGGGTGTTTTGTGTAAATGGTAAGTACCCAGCGTTTCACGAGAAGCCCATTTCAATTCTTTATGCATTTACTACAGTGTTCGGTACATGATTGTCACCTAGAAAAAAAACGTCGTCAGTATGCCGGAAATAACTCCAGACACCAACACGTGACAGACCATGGCAAGTCCTGTCGTGCTACTGTTTGGCAATCCCGTAACACTTTAATTCTCCCAGCGTGTGGTAGCCCTTCTCGTCGTATCCATCATGTTCGCCTGTGTCTCCAAATCTGAGCTGTTTGACCGGAAGTTTTGTTTTGTCTGTCAGGAGACCGCTGTCTTCACGCCATTGGTGGTCATTTTTGTCACAGTGGCAGCCTTGGTGTGAGTTTGCACATGAATTAGTCGTCCCGCATGCACACTTGTTACTTTCAGGCGAGGCTCCTCCCCAGTACGTCATCTTCTTAGAGTCGCGTGACACCCACCATCCATATGGGTTACTGTCAAAATTAAGCATGGAGTCGTAGCATTCATATTTAATGAACTGTTCACAATGCGAAGAAACGTTAGTAAGGGTCGCTAGCTGGGAAAAACTTGCACCTGAGTAGGAAATATTCCTCGAGTAGGAACCTCTTTCAGCGAATTTGTCCACCTCTGTTCTGCTCTCACTGTCGTGACTTATAACTGTCACGCCAACTCCATTCTTGTCACGCATGTCGCAATGCACTGTAAACGGCGCCAGGCCTCCTTCACCATCTGGATCAATGACGTAACTTCCGCTTGAATTACTTACGAATTTCTTTATCACAGAACAGGAAAGGGGCATTTCAGTCTTAATTTTCACAGTCGATTCTATTGTTTTGATTACATTTTTCACTCTGCAGGTGTATAATCCGTCGTGCGACTTTTTTACACTAGCAATGACTAGTGTGTTATTTTGCAAAACTTGCGAGTCGACCGGAAGTGAAGGTTTGCCATCTTTTAACCACGTGACTGTAGTTTTCAGTTCACTCTGGGCAACACATGGGAGATGCACAGGAGACGCGGAGCGAGGACTAAGTTCCTTAGGGGGACGAGCTAAAAACCGCAGACGCGAGAAAACCATCAACAAAGTTGCATCTCGTGCACTTCCCAGGATATTCCTGGCTTCACAGTGGTACGTTCCTCCGTCCTTTTTTGTCACGTTGCTAATTTTCAACGTTTCATTTGATACGTAAGCTCTGCGAGATAAACGACCGATTGATTTAGACCACGTAAAATGAGGTTGCGGCTGACCAGTGGCACTACAGGCAATGGAAACATTTTGTCCCTCCTCCGCTATCAGACGATTGGATGACAAATGAACCCGAGGGGCAACTGTTGGTAAAAAAAAAACGTTTAAAAGTCAAAAAGATGATGCCCTCTCTAAAATCATGGTAAATCGAATAATCGAGGACCATGTGTATTGTAGGTGGTGTCAGTCGACAGTGGTGATGAATGTCGGTCAGTCAAGTATCCAGTGACACTCAGTTGATAGTCTTCCGACAATCGGTCAATACTCAACTCAATCGGTCAAGTGTCGCTCAAGTATCAATTGTTTCCGCAAGGCTACAAGTCTTTCCAAAGAATTTTAATTTTAGTCAACAAATGTGGAATTGAATTTATAACAGGTCATTAAGTAGAACCTTAAAGCAATGGTGTGGTTTTTTCGATTATTTTTACAAAAAAAAGTTCTTAAAAATACTTACATTGCACGTTCAATTGCACTGAAGCGTTGACACTTCCCAACAGGTTTTGCGCGCTGCAGGTGTAGATTCCGGCATCTTCTTTTGTAACTTTCCTTATAATCAGGGCACTACTTGGTTCTACCACGTGACGGCCAATCGGAAGTGACGAGTTTTTCTTAGACCACGTGACCCTTGGTGCTGGATTCCCGTCTGCTTTACACTTCAAGACTGCTGTTTTTCCTTCGTTTACTGTCTTTTTAAGTAGAATCTCGATAAGCACAGGAGGCGAAAGCGATCTTCCTTCCTCGCCTTTCTGACCCTTCTCTCCCTGGGGGCCTCTTGGTCCCGGTAGTCCCACATTTCCCTGTACTCCCGGATCTCCCTTTGTTCCCATTGGTCCTGGAATTCCCTGGGGGCCATACTTCCCAGGGTTTCCCGGTCTTCCTCGGCGGCCCTGTTTTCCTCTCGGTCCTGCGCGACATAACACGTGATCTTTAGCGCAGATTTGGTTCTGTAGAAGTCTCAGCTCATCTCGTATCAGCAGTTGTACATAAGAAGGTGTTACTGTGGGACTAGGTTGTCCATTTGGTGATGAAACACTGCGCTTTTCCCTTGAATTGCCTGCCTTGTGATCTAAACAATCAATAAACAAATGACATTTTTAGTGTTCATTCATATGTTTTGTTGAGTTTTATGTAAAATCGAGTGGCTTGAAAATGCAGTGTCATTTATTTAAACAAACGTCGCTGTTTTCCAAAGTAGGGAGCTTAAGCGACAACGACGGCGAGGACTACAAAGACGTCGCTTAAAAAGTAAAGCGCGCTGCTTCAAACTTTATCGCGTCTCTTCTCTCTCACTCAATTCGTCAAATCTTGGCACTTTTTTGTTTGGAGTTGAATTCTAAAAGACTGCATCAAAGTTCAGGAAAAGAAAAAGAAAGTTGTTGCCTTTTGTTCCAGTCCTCGACAAAACGTGAAATTAGCCAGTTTCACGTTGTAGTCGTGCAGTGACGGCAGAGAAATGTACAAAAAAGCGTGATGCACGTGCAAAATTGTTGTTTTTCTTATCTAAACCTTTTGCTTTTATGCCGTTCTCGTTGACGTCGCCCTCGTCGTTTCTTAAGCTCTCTAATGTCAACGCATAAACACAGCTAAATCTACCTTTGTTTCCTTTCCAGCTTTCGTCTCTTGTTTCTCCCCAATGTTTGTCATTTTGTTGTACTTTTTGTAATATTTCATTCTCCATCTTATCACAGACTGTTGTTGTTTGTGTTATCAACCGTTGCTGCTCCTGAATCCTGAATTCTACATGAATAAGTGCGACACAGCACGCGATGGACAAAAGCAACCCAGACATGCAACACAAACGATCGAGCGGCGTTCTTCGCGCCATTTCTCGACGATCTTCCTTCTCCCGCTTCATCATTGACTTTAGATCTCTTTTGTCCTGACTGAATTGCGACTCAAGTTATATAGAGGACCCCAAAAGATTCTGCGGAAGAAATAATTCGATTCTCATGACTGTCTTTGATGGGAATGAGGAAGAGGAGATGAAAAAGGCAATACCACCTGAGGTGTTGTTTCTTAAACGGAAGAGATAAGATGACCATAGTTCAGACTCTAAATCCCTCTACGTGGTTGAAAACGACATAAATTTGCCCCCTTTTCAGTTTTTACCACAAAACAACAGTAAAAACGATAGCACTTTACATAAGAAGAAAAATGGGACCCAATTATCTCTTATAAACAAGTAATAGTTGACACTACAGCTGCCCCCGGTCTGTATATTGTCGGTCAATAGTATTCTTGCTCGTTGTGTAGCTCTTTGAAATATATCGATTCATAATGAAGATGTTCACACATATTCCATACAATAGGTGAGATAAATTACGGGAAATAAACGCAAGGTTCCATGCACAGTTTCGGTTCGATTTACACAGCTTTGATCAAAACATTCTCAGTTTCGAGAATAGTTTGTTCTAAACCATAAGAAAAGATTTAATTAGAAGTTTAATTTTTTGCTATTTCTCTTTCACTTTTTGCATTCAGTTCGTTTTATTTGCCGGAAAGTAAGCCTTAGCAATTAAAAGGACGTTTGATCAATTCACACTCGCGCATTGTAGTCTTATTTTAAACTTTATAGAGGAAGGACATCTGCCTTGTGACCAGGAAATAAGTCATCACAGAATTTGATGGTCGGCGAATTTCTGTAATGGTCCATCGTTTTGCTAGTGATAAGCTAGCCGTTGAATCATTCACTCGGCTTACTTGTTCTGCTTGTTTTGGGCCAAGTCTTATTCCGGTCTAAGAAAGAGAAAGAGTGTCTGGCAAGGTTCAGCTGAAGGTTTCCAATCAAAGATTTGTGAACTCGTGTCTGGCAGACTCACTTAGTGTTAAAATATACACTGTTCTACGCACCTTATAACTTCATCTACGCTTAGCGATTGTCTTTTGGTCCATAACTTTCGTAACAACTGCTCCACAGAATGTCACTGATGACACGTAACGCAAAAGAGTATCGAAGTATGACTGCACAATTCATGGATTTTTTGTGTTTTACGTCATCCTAACCATTTCGTACTTGCGGGCGCAAACAATAGAAACGTCATCATTACCTACCGATTCCTCGCGGCCCCTGTTCAAGCAAATCGAGATTTTTTCTATTTTGACTGTATGACTGTATATTTCAGCTGTAAGTACTTTCCTTAATATACGCGCGAGTTACTAGAGTGCCTCCTCGGGATTTCGCCCTCTGGGCGAAATCCCTGCGGGGGCAATAATATTTCAAATAAGATGAAGCTAACCTAAATACTTAATGCACTTGTTATGTTCTAGCTTAAACGTAACAGTTCGTCGGTCATATTTTTGATGTGTGTTATATTTTCTCATATAAATGAATACATGAATAAGTGCGACACAGCACGCGATGGACAAAAGCAACCCAGACATGCAACACAAACGATCGAGCGGCGTTCTTCGCGCCATTTCTCGACGATCTTCCTTCTCCCGCTTCATCATTGACTTTGGATCTCTTTTGTCCTGACTGAATTGCGACTCAAGTTATATAGAGGACCCCAAAAAGATTCTGTGGAAGAAATAATTCAATTCTCGTGACTGTCTTTGTTTGGAATGAGGAAGATGAGATTAAAAAGGCAATACCACGTGAGGTGTTGTTTCTTAACCGGAAGAGATAAGATGACCGTAGTTCAGACTCTAAATCCCTCTACGTGGTTGAAAACGACATAAATTTGCCCCCTTTTCAGTTTTTACCACAAAACAACAGTAAAAACGATAGCACTTTACATAAGAAGAAAAATGGGACGCAATTATCTCTTATAAATGATATTTTAAATAAGATGCAGCTAAACTAAATACTTAAGGCACTTGTTATGTTTTAGCTTAAACGTAACAGTTCGCCGGTCATATTTTTGATGTGTTATATTTTATCATATAAATGACACTATTTTATAAGACTCTGGTTCAGTTTTATGCTGATGATTAAAGCCGGCGAACTGCGACGTTTCCTCCATTTACATGCCCAGGGCTATCAATGTCCACTTTTTCCTCAAGTTACCCGTTTCAATGCTTCTTCATCTGTAAACTATTTCGTTTCTTTCTTGTATTTTTTTTCTTTGAAGGAGAGTGAACACAGAGCTGGCGTTAAAGTGTAGAGACGCAGATCTGCTAATTCTGGAAGGGATGGGCAGGTATGGCAAATTGTTAGTCGTGACATTTTCAATTGCTGTAAACGGCGTCTATCGGTAATATCAGTATAAGCTCCCCCCCGCCCCCCTCCAGGCCAAAAACATAAGAGAATAGTCCGATTATACGTCCCCTTTCAAACATCCCCCGATTACTGATTACTCTAGTCCAGGAGTATTTCTTTTGGAAAGACAAATGCTGCACCGCGCTCAAAACTCAAAAAAAAAAAAAACCGGCGAGCTAGTGGTGTGAATGTAAATAGGAAGCCATCTCTGTTGTTACTCTGATAAGCAATAGCTTTTGACTAATGAGCGCGGAAAATAACCGCTCCGTGCCGAGGAATCTGATTCCAGAATCCGTGAATTGTTTCTTGTGGAACTCAGAATACACCTCAAGGAATCCGAAATCCCATTAACGATTGGAATCCGGAATCCAAGTTCCACTGACAGAATCCGGAATTTAGTACCCAGAATCCGGAAACCACGGCGTGGAAGCCAGTCTTGGATTCCCTTACATAAGGCCACGAGAACGTGTTCAGTTATCGTAAAACTCTGAATAGACAGCACATTCGTGTTCAATAGTGTTCAATTGCGCTCTGTGCTTGAGGAGTTTGTCTCATAAGCTCTAGCTTTGAACGAATTTACTCAAACACCCTATGCCGCTCTCATTTTACTCTTCAGAGCCGTTCACACGAACTATGACGCAAAGTTCACTTGTGAAAGTATAAAACTTGCCGTGATAAAGAATCGCTGGCTCGCGCAAAGACTGGGCGGAGATATGTACAGCGTGGTCTTTAGATACGAGCAAGGAACAGTGGCATCTGTCAATAGTGTAGATTGTCCTGTGATGCAACAAAGCCAGGGGCTTGTATCGTGGGATATAGGGCACCCCGAGGAAGAGTAATGGAGGGTATGATAATAGCAGTCATGATAGTGGTGATGATGGTGATGTTGGTGGTGGTGGTGGTGGTGGTGGTGGTGATGTTGGTGATGGTGATGATGATTACAATGACGATGGTTGTTTTTCTTGTGGTGTTGACGATAATGGAGGTGACGATGATGATGAATGTTAATGACAATGGTGATGATGATGATAAGGACGATTGTGATGATGATAATTACAATTAAAGACTGATGATGCATGAAGAGCGTTGACGTATGAAAGTGATGATGGATTTGTTGGTGATGGTTGATATGGTAACGTCGATGCTTATAGTGACTGTGGCATTGATTTTGACGGTAATGAGAATGATTGTGGTGATGGAGGTGACGACGATGGCCATGATGATGGTGGCGGTAATAAAGATGATAATGATAATGAGTTTTAATGATGACGACGATGACGATGATGATGATGATGACGACGACGATGATGATGATGATGATAATGGTGACGACAACGAAAGACTATGATAGTGAAGTTGATAGCAGCGGATATGATGGTGTCGATGCTGAACATAATGAATAATTGTGAATTGCGATGTTGACTTTGGTGTCCACGGTCAAGGCAACAGTGGAGTAATTATCGCAGTTGTGTGTGGAAAAACAAAGAATACCGCAGCCAGGGAAGCGGGTATCACACAAATTGGGGAAAAGTTGAAATTAAACTTCTACATAAAGAATGACTTTTAATAACACACATTTGTATATACTATAATAGGGTCGGTTGAAATAAAGCGCATTCTACAGAAATTCAAACCCTAATACTGTTTAACTAACCTTAACTATTCACTAAAGAAATATTTGTTATTTTGATTAAACCCTCTTTTTAATCAAACATTTTTGAGCGAGCTTTGTAAGTGTTATAAATGTGCCTTCACTCATGAACAAAAATGGCCTTAAACGTCGAAAACATCGATTCATTCCCCAACGAAAGCCAATTTCTTTTTCCTTTACCACGAAAACTGAACAAGAGTGTTGGACAACTATGAAACTTGTGCTGTTTCATGTCCACATAAAATAGGGTCCTTTGAATGCAGCCTTCACCGAATTTCGTATAGCGAAAATAAATCTTAAGGTCGTCGTATGGTAATTTTCAGTATTTACTCGATAAGGATATGAAAATACTTTATGAAGCTTAATCTAACATCAACCGTGGCTAGTAGTCGAGCCCTAGAGCCTTGAGTGATGTCTACTACACTTTCTTGTTTTAACGACCTTTTTTATATGAGCCCAAATTGTGGTAATAGTTCTGAATTTTGTTTGTTATGCATTTGCCATACCATAACACTTCAGTTTTCCGAGAGTGTGGTAGCCCTTTTCATCGGCAACATTGTTCGGCCCGTAAGTTCCTGTATCTCCAAACCTGAGCTCTTTGACTGGAAGATGGTCCTTGTCTGTGAGAAGACCGCTGTCCTCTCGCCACTCCGCGTCATTCTTATCACAGTTACACGGTTCCCATGAGTCTGCACACGAATTGGTCATCCCACATGCGCACTTGTTACTTCCAGGCGAGGCTCCTCCCCAGTACAACATTTGAGCAGAATCACGTGATACCCACCAACCAACAGGCGATGAACTGCCAAGTCTTAAAACGGAGCCATAGCATTCATATTTGATAAACTGTTCGCAGTATGTAGAGGCGCGAGTAAGACTCCTTAGCTGAGACAAGGTAACTCCTGAGTAGTGAATGCTGCGCGAGTAATCACCATGACTATCATATCCATCCACTAGTGTTCTGCTCTCACTGTTGTGACTTATAACTGTTACTCCAACTCCATTTTTGTCATGCATGTCGCAATGCACGGTAAACGGTGCCAGTCCTCCCTCGCCATCTGGGTCAATGACATAACTTCCGCTCGAGTTGCTGTCGAATTTACGTATCACAGAACACGACGAAGGAGTAATAGGAGTCTTTATTTCCACAGGTGCCTCGATTGTTGACAGAGCATTACTCGCTCTACAAGTATACGATCCAGCGTGTGAATTTTTCACACTGGGAATAACCAGCGTGTTGTTTTGTAGAATATTAGAATCAGTCGGAAGTGATGGCTTACCATGGAATAACCACGTGACTGTAGGGCTCAGGTCACTTTTGGCAACACATGGAAGTCGCACAGGCGACCCAAGGAATGGAGTAATCTGCTTGGGAGAGCGAACTGAAAACTGCAGTGCTGAAAATATTACAACTTGCACAGTTTCTTCCGCCTTTCCCAGAATATTTTCTGCTTTGCATATGTAGACACCCCCGTCCTGTTTTTGTACATTGTTGACTTTCAGTTCTGTAGTGCTAACCACAGCCCCTACAGGTAAATCACCGATCGATTTCGACCACGTGATATTAGGCTGCGGCTGACCAGAAACACTGCAGGCTATGCTGATGTTTTGCCCTTCTTCAGCCATCAGTTGACTGGAACTCTTTGATAACCGCGGAGCAACTGTTGAAATACAATCAGATAAAACAATGAATAAAGATGAATGCTTTAGAATTGACCACCATAAAAGAGAAAATTTGATTCTGTTCTCTATTATTATCATTATTATAATTAATATTATTATTACTATTATTAATGTATCCTTGTTTTGAATATACGGTGACAATAAAAGATGATGTATCGTAACGCTATATGTATGTTGACGCCATAAGATGTCAAAAGACGAGACTTCATGAAACTCACACTGCACTGTTAATTGTACCGAAGCGTTGACACTTCCCAAAAGGTTTTCTGCACTGCAGCTGTAAATTCCGGTATCTTCTGGTCCGAGATTCTTTAAAATAAGAGCGTTACTGGGTCCCGTCACATGACGCCCAGCCGGAAGTGTCAATCTTTTCCTTGACCATGTGACCCTCGGTGGTGGATATCCGTCTGCTTCACACTTCAAAACTGCCGTTTGGCCTTCTTTGACTGTTTTCTCAGCAGGTGCCTCGATGAAAAAGGGAGCGGAAATTGACTTTCCCTGTTCGCCTTTCTCACCCTTCTCTCCCTGAGGACCTCTTGGTCCAGGTGGTCCCACATTTCCCTGTACTCCCAGTTCCCCCTTTATTCCCATTGGTCCTGAAATTCCCTGGGGGCCATGCTTCCCAGGGCTTCCGGGTCTTCCTCGGCGGCCCGGTTTTCCCCGCGGTCCTGCACGGCATAACACGTGATCTTTAGCGCAGATTTGGTTCTGTAGAAGTCTCAGCTCGTCACGTATCAGCAGTTGTACATAGGAAGGTTTTACTGTGGGACTAACTTGTCTGCTCGTTGATGAACTTGCACTTCTTTTTGGTCTGAAATCGCTTTCTTTGTGACCTGAACGAGTATAATCAAGAAAACAAAAATTATATCACTAAGTGGGCCTATAAAGTAAACTCGAGACTAAATCTGTAATGTGACAATGGTCGGATTGAAAATATCGCACACGAGGGTGGTGAGAAACTTTCCTCTTTTGATTACAGAAAAGGAATAGATTCACTTTTTGTTGTAGTTGATTTTTTTGTCACTAAACCGGTTTTATATAGGGCTCAAATTCTGTGCCTGCCATGAAACAACACATCCTAGCCTACCTGTGTTTTCCTGTGTTTTCTCGCCTGTCATTCCTCCCCACCATTTAAAATTTTGTTGTACTTTTCGCAGTATTTCAGTCTCCATCTTATCACAGACTGTCGTTGTTTGTGAAATCAACCTTTGTTGCTCCTGAATCTTGAATTCCACATGAATTAGTGCGACACAGCACGCGATGGACAGCAACAACCCAGACGTACAACACAAACGATCGAGCGATGTTCGTCCGGTCGTTTCTTGACGATCTGTTTTTCCTTGTTTCATTGCGGTTTGCTCTCTACTCGCTACTAGAGTCAAGGCTTTAGCAATTAAGTGCCACTATATCGGTTATGTGCGAGATTAAATTAAATTGCTAACCATTCAAAGGGGAGAAATGAGATACTAGACTGATGATAATGAAGGGACAACTTCCTGTTATGTTTTGAGGGTGTGGCTGGCTCAGACCCAATGTAAACCGCTTTTCGTTGATCGGCTGTAATAACTGCGAGATTAATCGTCAAGTTTATGTTGCCAAAGGTCATATTGTCAGAGGCATATATAAAAACATTGTTTATTATTTGTTGAGTCTAAGTAAATCAAAACTTTAGTTTGAAAATTTCCTTTCAAGAAAAACATCATGTTCTATTACATGTAAAATTTTTAATGCCTTATGTCGGCCGTTTGAGAGATGCGAATTTTTTTAAACGGAGTTGATATACTTTTTCGTAGTAAAGCAGATGTCGCTAGGTTATAAAAGTTGCCATAAAAGTTGAACTTCTTAGCTGGCATTACCTGCAGATTTTTCAGCCACGTGGGATCTGAGCACGCTTTGAATCGAATTTTAAAGGACTTTTAAGGTTTACTACTACGTCATAGATCAACCATCCCCGCAGGTTTTACTCGCGCTCTCTCCACTACCGCCGTTTTCGGACGCGCGATTTCACCAGCTGTACTAGGCCCATATTCACCGAGTGTTGAAGGAACTTGAAAGAGAAGTTGTCCAGTATCGCACCATGTAAGGAAATCCGAAATCCCGGGAATTTCTGCTTGAGGAATCCGTATCCGGAATACGGGAAAATTTGTTTGTGGAATCCGAAATCCCACGCTTTGGAAACAGGAATACAGCTCGGGGAATCTGGAATCCCACTGACGATTGCAATCCAGAATCAAAGTTCCACTGACAAAGAATGGGATCCGGAATCCACGGCGCGGAATCGACAATCCAAAACGGTTTTAGATTCACTTATATGGGGCGACCAGTGACTACTTTAAACAACGAGGAAACCACTAGGACAATCAGCAGCAAGTTGTAGGCGGAAAAGAGTAAACAGTGCTTTGTGTAGACCAGCAATATTGCGCAAAGACCAAAGAAAATCGCTCAGATTGATTGTCCGTATAGGCCCTTTGCAGCTAGCCATTCACATGGTACAAAACCGCCGTGCTGGAGAGCAAAAGTCGCACTGGGACAAGAAAAGCAAAGAAAGTTACCATTTCAAATTATGTGTTTTTTGTTTGTCTTGTCCCAGTACGACTTTTGCTCTTCAGCATGGCGGTTTTGTACTACGTGAATGGCTAGCTGCAAAGGGCCAATTATATGGAACTATTACGAAGAGGTTATAGATAGACAGGCGCTTTCAAGGAGGGAGTCTGGTTAAAGGATTGTTTTTCGTTTATTTCCGCCCTTTTTCTTAAGATTTCATTGAATCAAAACATGGCACAATTAGTTTGGAGTCCTTGATTCAATAATTTTTGGATGATTTTTCGAATGTTTTAAATGTAGGAAAATTAGGGAGGAGGGGAGGTATAAAAATTTTGGAAATTTGAAAATATTGGATTAGGGGTTTGTTAAATATTAAGAGGCAGTCTCCCTAAAAGCGGTCCACTCGATTTCGCGACAAAAAATACTTTTCCTTTATTTTTTGTCGGTGAAGAGGTATCTAAATAAGCTGTTTTCTGTATTTTGGATGCAGTTACTAAATGCCCAACATGTCACTAAAAAATGGCACACCTGGAGAAATACTGGAACGTATAGCTACGATTTTTATGCAAAGTGTATAACCTCGTTTTGTTAATTTCATTAAGACAGTGGAACCTCGCCGTAAAGAAGGGCCGAGGGACCGGAAAAATATGTTCGCTATAACGAGGTTATACACTTTGCATAAAAATCGTAGCTATACGTTCCAGTATTTCTCCAGGTGTGCCATTTTTTAGTGACATGTTGGGCATTTAGTAACTGCATCCAAAATGCAGAAAACAGCTTATTTAGATACAAACTTGCATTGTTTAATTACTATAAGTGTACAATATTAGAAAGGCAACAATGGTTCAGGTCATATTTTATAGCTCAGGAAAAATCCTGAGGGAAGGGGGTTTGTACACAGGCTAATTTTTGACTACTGCATATTACTTTGAGGGGTGAAACTAAAAAAAGTCAGCGGTGGGAACTGTATGGGATATGAATCAAAAGTATCCTGCTACTTAGCAATTTCTATGCAGTTGAACCACCTCTCTATTCAAAGAAACAAAATCACTTTACCATTCAAAGCACTATAGTTATAATCTATCGTAAGCGACCACCAAATCTTGGTATGTGGGTTTGTCGTTTACTGTCGTCAGTCAAAAACCTTCACATAATGCGCCTTGTCTCGAGAAAGTCAAAAGATTTTTTATAGGTTAGTTTATTAACCCTCGGACGTACACGCAAAGTCATACTCCTACCGTGGTACAAGGTGGGGGGGTTAATGGAACCTCCACCTTAAGTTTTTGATATGTTCCAGTATTTCGAAACGATTTTGCCTTCAGTGGAAAGCTGGAAAGCCTTTGATCTTCTCTACAAGATGAGGTATATTTTATGCGTGGTGGCGCTGCTGGAAGTCTGTGACGTCACCAAACATGGTCGCCATCTTGGATTCTTTCAAGAATTAGAAATCAGGTAAAAACGATGAGAGTTAATAATTTTTTGCGCTTAACATGTTCAATAACAAATAAATTATTATTCTGCATCATTTCATCCACAAACTTTACTTTTATTCCTGAAAGAAGTTGAAAAAACATTCATTTTCACTCAGAAATGACTTGACCACCTACTACTTGTGACGTCATTTCTCGTAACCATAGTAACTGACCATTACTAAACTTGTCTCAAAATGCGAGCAAGGGATAAACGAACAACTACAGAAAACTTCAGGTGCTGATGTTTTATCGTCTAGGAAAAAATCGGAAAAACCTTAGGGGGTGGCAACCACCCCCACCCCCGCTTGTACGTCCGAGGGTTTAGTTAAATCGCACGCTTAGTTGCGGATGTGTTAATATACGGGTAAATCTAACAGCAAAACTGGACAAATTGCGGGTACGTCACATTCTTTTAACGACAAAAAATTCCGAATCCAGACTTATGAAACTTGCTATTCACTTGCAACATTTAAGTTTTCCCAGAGTGTGGTAGCCTTTCTCATCAACAGGACCGAATGTTGTTGTATCTCCAAACCTGATCTGTTTGACCGGCAGTTGTGTCATGTCTTGGTGGTGGTGATGGTGACGGTAATGGAGGTGACGATGATGATGAATGTTAATGACAATGGTGATGATGATGATAAGGACGATTGTGATGATGATAATTATAATTAAAGACTGATGATGCATGAAGAACGTTGACGTATGTAAGTGATGGTGAATTTGTTGCTGATGGTTGGTATGGTAACGTCGATGCTTATTGTGACTATGGCAGTGATTTTGACGACGATGATAAGACCATGATTATGGTGATGGCGGTGACGACGATGACTATGATAATGGGGGCGGTAATAAAGATGATAACGATATTAAGTTTAAATGATGACGATTACGGCGACTGCAACGACGACGACGATGATGATGATGACGGCGACGACCATAATGATAACGATGATGATGATGATGATGATGATGATGATGACGAGAAGAGAAGACTACGATAGTGAAGTTGGTGGTGGCGAATATGATGTTGTCGATGCTGAACATAATAAATAACGATGAATTGCGATGCTGACTGTGATGTCCACTGTTATGGCAATGGTGGAGAGATTATCGCAGTTAAAAAAAGACTATCGCAGCCAAGGAAGCTAGAATCACACAAAGTGGGTGGAAAAGTTAAAATTAAAGTTGTACATTAAAATGGTTTTAATAACACTTTTGAATATACTATAATAAAGTCGGTTGAAGCATATTCTACAGGATTTTAAATCATAATATAGTTTAATTAACTTTTAATATTCACTAACCACACCAAACCCGCTAGTTTGCTGTTATCAAGGAAACGTGCAGGGTCGGGGTCCCGTAAGAAGCGCTAAAATACGAATTCAGTATGCGTTTGTTTAAAATGGCAATACCGCGAGAATTCTCACATTTTTCGGCTAACTATACCAGTGTCATGAAGATAACTCACTCAACACAACAGCCTTTGAACGTCGAAAACACAAGTCATTCTCCAAAGGAAGCTAATTCCTTTTTTTGTTGCCATGATGACCGAACAAGAGTGAGGAACACTTACGGAACCCTCGCAGGTTTTACAGTGAATTATCTGTTTCAGTGTGGGACGCTGATTCTCATGTTCGTTTAAAATAGAGTCCTTTTAATACAGTTTTCACCGTGTTTTTGTATAGTGAAAAAACTTTAAGGTCATCGTAAGTTAATTTTTCACCACTAGATATGGATATGAAAATGCTTGGTGGAGCTAAATCTAACAGCAAACTGGAAAAGTGGCAGGTACCTTACATTTTTTGACCGGCGTATATTCCGGTTGCTAGTATAAAATTAGCTGCTAATTTGCTATCCCGTAACACTTCAGTTTTCCGAGAATGTGGTAACCCTTCTCATCTTTTACCCGTTTGGCCCCGTTAACGCCTGTATCGCCAAACCTGAGCTGTTTGACTGGCAGTTGTGTTTTATCAGTAAGGAGACCGCTGTCTTCACGCCACACTGCGTCATTCATACCGCAGTTGCACTGTTGACTTGAGTCTGCACATGAGTAGGTCATTCCGCATGCGCACTTGTTACTTCCAGGCGAGGCTCCTCCCCAATACGTCATCTTCGTAGATTCACGTGACACCCACCAACCATATGAGTCGAGCAATATCAGAGAACCATAGCATTCATATTTGATAAACTGTTCACAGTGCGAAGAGGCGTCGGTAAGGCTCGCCAACTGAGACAAACTTGCTCCTGAGTAATGAATACTTCGTGAGTATGAACCTGGGTCCTCATATCCGTCCACAAGTATTCTGTTTTCACTGTCGTGACTTATAACTGTCACGCCAACGCCATTTTTGTCACTCATGTCACAATACACAGTAAACGGTGCCAGTCCTCCTTCGCCATCTGGGTCAATGACATAACTTCCGCTCGAGTTGCTGACGTATTTACGTATCACAGAACATGATAAAGGAGTAAAAGGAGTCTTTATTTCCACACGTGCCTCGATTGTTGACAGAGCATTACTCGCTCTACAAGTATACGATCCAGCGTGTGAATTTTTCACACTGGGAATAACCAGCGTGTTGTTTTGTAGAATATTAGAATCAGTCGGAAGTGATGGCTTACCATGGAATAACCACGTGACTGTAGGGCTCAGGTCACTTTTGGCTACACATGGAAGTCGCACAGGCGACCCAAGGAATGGAGTAATCCGCTTGGGAGAGCGAACTGAAAACTGCAGTTCTGAGAATATTACAACTTGCGCAGTTTCTTCCGCCTTTCCCAGAATATTTTCTGCTTTGCATATGTAGACTCCCCCGTCCTGTTTTTGTACATTGCTGACTTTCAGTTCTTTAGTGCTAACCACAGCCCCTACAGGTAAATCACCGATCGATTTCGACCACGTGATATTAGGCTGCGGCTGACCAGTGGCACTGCAGCTTATGCTGATGTTTTTCGCTTCTTCAGCCATCACTTGACTGGAACTCTTTGATAACCGCGGAGCAACTGTTGAAATACAATCAGATAAAACAATGAATAAAGATGAATACTTTAGAATTGACCACCATAAAAGAGAAAATTTGATTCTGTTCTCTATTATTATCATTATTATAATTAATATTATTACTATTATTAATGTATCCTTGTTTTGAATTTACGGTGACAATAAAAGATGATGTATAGTAACGCTATATGTATGTTGACGCCATAAGATGTCAAAAGACGAGACTTCATGAAACTCACACTGCACTGTTAATTGTACCGAAGCGTTGACACTTCCCAAAAGGTTTTCTGCACTGCAGCTGTAAATTCCGGTATCTTCTGGTCCGAGATTCTTTAAAATAAGAGCGTTACTGGGTCCCGTCACGTGACGCCCAGCCGGAAGTGTCAATCTTTTCCTTGACCATGTGACCCTCGGTGGTGGATATCCGTCTGCTTCACACTTCAAAACTGCCGTTTGGCCTTCTTTGACTGTTTTCTCAGCAGGTGCTTCGATGAAAAAGGGAGCGGAAATTGACTTTCCCTGTTCGCCTTTCTGACCCTTCTCTCCTCGAGGGCCTCTTGGTCCGGGTGGTCCCACATCCCCCTGTACTCCCGAATCTCCTTTTATTCCCAATGGTCCTGGAATTCCCTGGGGGCCATGCTTCCCAGGGCTTCCCCGTCTTCCCCGACGGCCCGGTTTTCCTCTCGGTCCTGCACGGCATAACACGTGATCTTTAGCGCAGATTTGGTTCTGTAGAAGTCTCAGCTCGTCTCGTATCAGCAGTTGTACATAGGAGGGTGTTACTGTTGGACTAACTTGTCTGCTCGTTGCTGAGCTTGCACTTCTCTTTCGTCTGAAATCGCTCTCTTTGTGACCTGAACGATTATAATCAAGAAAACAAAAATTATAGTACTAAATGGGCCTAGAAAGTAAACTCGAGACTAAATCTGTAATGTGACAATGGTCGGATTGAAAATATCGCACACGGGGCTGGTGAGAAACTTTCCTCTTTTGATTACAGAAAAGGAATAGATTCACTTTTTGTTGTAGTTGATTTTTTTGTCACAAAACCGGTTTTACATAGGGCTCAAATTCTGTGCCTGCCATGAAACAACGCATCCTAGCCTACCTGTGTTTTCCTGTGTTTTCTCGCCTGTCATTCCTCCCCACCGTTTAAAATTTTGTTGTACTTTTCGCAGTATTTCAGTCTCCATCTTATCACAGACTGTCGTCGTTTGTGAAATCAACCTTTGTTGCTCCTGAATCTTGAATTCCACATGAATTAGTGCGAGACAGCACGCGATGGACAGCAACAACCCAGACGTACAACACAAACGATCTAGCGATGTTCGTCCGGTCGTTTCTTGACGATCTGTTTTTCCTTGTTTCATTGCGGTTTGCTCTCTACTCGCTACTAGAGTCAAGGCTTTAGCAATTAAGTGCCACTATATCGGTTATGTGCGAGATTAAATTGCTGAGAAAACTGTAACCATTCAAAGGGGAGAAATGAGATACTAGACTGATGATAATGAAGGGACAACTTCCTGTTATGTTTTGAGGGTGTGGCTGGCTCAGACCCAATGTAAACCGCTCTTCGTTGATCGGCTGTAATAACTGCTCGATTAATCGTCAAGTTTATGTTGCCAAAGGTCATATTGTCAGAAGGCATATATAAAAACATTGTTTATTATTTGTTGAGTCTAAGTAAATCAAAATTTTAATTTGAAAATTTCCTTTCAAGAAAAACATCATGTTCTATTACATGTAAAATGTTTAATGCCTTATGTCGGCCGTTTGAGAGATGCGAATTTTTTTAAACGGAGTTGATACACTTTTTCGTAGTAAAGCAGATGTCGCTAGGTTATAAAAGTTGCCATAAAAGTTGAAGGTCTTAGTTGGCATTATCTGCAGATTTTTCAGCCACGTGGGATCTGAGGACGCTTTGAATCGAATTTTAAAGGACTTTTAAGGTTTACTACTACGTCATAGATCAACCATCCCCGCAGGTTTTACTCGCGCTCTCTCCACTACCGCCGTTTTCGGACGCGCGATTTCACCAGCTGTACTAGGCCCATATTCATCGAGTGTTGAAGGAACTTGAAAGAGAAGTTGTCCAGTATCGCACCATGTAAGAAAATCCGAAATCCCGGAAATTTCTGCTTGAGGAATCCGTATCCGGAATACGGGAAAATTTGTTTGTGGAATCCGGAATCCTAGGCTTTGGAATCAGGAATACAGCCCGGCGAATCCGGAATACCACTAAAGATTGCAATCCAGAATCCAAGTTCCACTGACAAAGAATGGGATCCGGAATCCACGGCGCGGAATCCACAATCCAAAACGGTGTTGGATACACACTTATATTGGACGACCAGTGACTACCATAAACAACGAGGGAACCAATAGGACAATCAGCAGCAAATTTGTCGGAGGAAAAGAGTAGACAGTGCTTTTTGAAGACCAAACACCAAAGAAAATCACTCAAATTGATTGTCCATATTATATGGAACTATTATAGGGAGTTTAAGCCAAGGAGACAGACAGGACAGATAGAGAGGTGCTTTTAAGGAGGGAGTCTGGTTAAAGCATTGTTTTTCGCTTTATTTCCGCCCTTTTTCTTAAATATCTGGCCAGATTTCATTCCACCGAAAAATGATGCAATTAGTTTGGAACCCTTGATTCAATAATTTTGGAAGAATTTTTCGAATGTTTTTAATGCAGAAAAATTAGAGAGGGAGAGGTATTACAAAATTTGTAAAAATGAAAACATTGGATTGCGGGTTTGTTAAAAATTAAAATATGAAGTGAATAATTAGTAAACAAAGAGAAGATAGTCCACCACTACAACAAGGTGCCTCTGATCCCATTAGCGGACTAACTGGTTTATATGTATACCTTTTCTACCCTAATCTATTTCCTTGCTAAATCAAAATCATCCCCACCCCCCCATCGCCCCCCAAAAAAAAAAGCACTCCGACTTCCCCTAAAGTTTGAGAGAGGTGGAGAGAAGCTGTCGGGTTCTGTTGTTCTGGTACCCTGAGACGTTCATCCGGTCGTCGTCCAGAATAGCGTTGCCTGTTCTGAAAGGCGCAATGGAGGATCGAAAGGCTATTTCGCAGTTTTGGCCAAACCGCATTGAAATCGCTTTATTAATTTTATTAATACAGTAGAACCTCGATGTAAAGAATAAGGCCAAGGGACTGTAAACATATGTTCGCAAAAAGGAGGATTAGTTTAATCGTGGTTCTTTTCCATATATTTTACTATTACTGAAGTGAGGAATATCGTTCGTCCGTTCGTTAAGTAGGGCGGCTCGTTATTTCCATTGTATACACTTTGCATAAAAATCGTAGTCATAAGTTCCGGTATTTCTCCAGGGGTGCCGTTTTTTAGTGACATGTAGGGCATTTAGTACATGCGTCCAAAATACAAAAAACAGTTTATTTAGATATAGATACAAACTTGCATTGCTTAATTACTACAACTATACAATATTAGAAAGGCAACAATGGTTCAAGTCATTTTTGATAGCCTGTGTACAGACTCCCCCTCCCCTCAGGAAAAATCCTGAGTGGAGAGGGGGGGTCTGTACACAGGCTAATTTTTGACTACTGCATATTACTTTGAGGGTTGAAACTGAAAAAAGTCAGCGATGGGATATGATTCAAAAGTATTCTGCTACTTAGCGATTTCCATTCAGTCGAACCACCCCTTCAGTCCAATCACTTTTCCAGTCAAAGCACCGCAGTAACAATCTCGCTTACTTTCGTCATTCAAAAACTTCCACATAATGCTATTTGTTTCGAGAAAATCAAAAAAATTGTTTATAGCTTAGTTTATTAAGTTACTTCAGTTTGCACGGCTAGCTTCGGATCTGTTTATATACGCGTAAATCCAACAGCAAAACTGGAGAAGTTGCGGGTACGTCACATTCTTTGGCTTTCTTTTAACGACGAAATATTCCGAGTCCAAACTTATGAAACTACAAGCTATTCACTTGCTATTCCGTAACATTTAAGTTTCCCTAGAGTGTGGTAGCCTATCTCATCATGACCAAAGCGTCTGTCTGTATCTCCAAACCTGAGTTGTTTGACTGGCAGTTGTGTCTTGTCCGTGAGAAGACCGCTGTCCTCACGCCACACTGCGTCATTCTTATCACAGTTACACCTTTTACTGGGGTCTGCACATGAATTGGTCATTCCGCATGCACATTTGTTGCTTCCCGGCACGGCTCCTCCCCAATATGTCATTTTAGAGGAGTTACGTGACACCCACCAGCCAGCTGGATTTTGGAGTAGGAGAGAATCATAGCATTCATATTTAATGAACTGTTCACAGTTTGTAGACACATCAGTAAGTTTCGCCAGCTGCGAAAAAGTTGCTCCTGAGTAATGAATATTGCGTGAGTATTCACCATCTCCTTCATATCCGTCCACTAGAGTTCTGCTCTCACTGTCATGACTTATAACTGTCACGCCAACTCCATTTTTGTCGCTCATGTCACAATACACAGTAAACGGTGCCAGTCCTCCGTTACCATCTGGGTCAATGACAAAACTTCCGCTAGAGCCGCTGACGTATTTACGTATCACAGAACAGGAAGAAGCTGCAACTGGAGTCTTTATTTCCACACTTGTCTCGATTGTCGAGAGAGCATTGCTTGCTCTGCAAGTGTACAATCCAGCGTGTGATTTGGTTACTTTACGTATAATTAGTGTGTTGTTTTCTAGAATGTTAGTATCAGCCGTAAGCGATGGCTTCCCATCCTTTAACCACGTGATTGAAGGGGTCAGGTCACTCTCGGCTGCACATGACAGTCTCACAGGAAACCCAAGGAGTGGAGTAAGATGTTTAAGAGGGAGAACTGAAAAATTCAAAGACTGGAAAATCATCACTTGTATCGTGTCCTCTGTCCTTCCCAGTATATTCTCTGCTTTGCAAACATATACACCACCGTCCTTTTTTTTACGTTGACGATTTTCAAAGCTGTGGCGCTCACCACAGCTCTCTCAGGTAAACTGCTGAATGCTTTTGACCAAGTGATATTAGGCTGCCGCTGACCAGTGGCACTGCAGGCGATGCTGATATTTTGTCCCTCTTCGACCAGCAGTCGATTAGAGCTCAGTAGTAATCGCGGGGCAACTGTTAAAAAAGACAATCCGATAAAACAAGTTGTAAAAATGAGTTCTAAAAATTAGAGTCTTTTAATTAGTTGCTTGTTTTAAAATCGGCCATTCGTGACACTTACATTGAACCGTTAACTGTGCTGAGACGTTACCACTTCCCAGCATGTTTTCCGCACTGCAGCTGTAGATTCCGGTATCTTCTGGTTTCACTTTCTTTATAACTAGAGCGTTACTGGGTCCAGTGACGTGACGCCCAACCGGAAGTGATGATTTGCTCTTTGACCATGTGACCCTATATCCATCTACCGTGCATTTCAATATTGCTGTTTGGCCTTCGTTGATTTTCTTTTCAACAGGAGGAGCTTCGATGAAAAAGGGAGCAGAAATCGACCTTCCCTGTTCGCCTTTCTGACCCTTCTCTCCCTGGGGGCCTCTTGGTCCCGGTGGTCCCACATTCCCCTGTACTCCCAGATCTCCCTTTATTCCCATTGGTCCTGGAATTCCCTGGGGGCCATGCTTCCCAGGGCTTCCGGGTCTTCCTCTGCGGCCGGGTTTTCTCCGCGGTCCTGCACGGCATAACACGTAATCTTCAGCGCAGATTTGGTTCTGTAGAAGTCTCAGCTCGTCTCGTATCAGCAGTTGTACATAAGAGGGTTTTACTGTGGGACTAACTTGTTTGCCCGTTGATGAGCTTGCGCTTCTTTTTACTCTGAAATTGTTCTGTTTGTGTCCTGAACAAGTGTAATCAACAAAACAAAAATTATAATACTAGTTTTCGTGAACCTAAAAAGTAAACTCGACTATAAATCTGTATGTGACAACGGTTCAGATTAAAAATATCGCACACAAAGCTCGTGAGAAATTTTCCTCTTTTTTAAATTACAGACAATGAAGAGATTCACCATTCGTTGTTATGGATTTTTTCACAAAACCGGTCTTATAATGGGCTCAAATTTTATGGCTGCTATAAAACAACACATTCTGGTCTCAACCTTTGTTTCTCTGAGTTATTTCCTCTGCCACTCCTCCCCAACGTTTAAAATTCTGTTGTACTTTTCGCAGTATTTCAGTCTCTATTTGATCACAGACTGTTGTTGTTTGTGATATTAACCGTTGCTGCTCCTGAATCCTGAATTCCACATGAATAACTGCGACACAGCACGCGATGGACAGCAACAACCCAGACGTGCAACACAAACGATCGAGCGGTGTTCGCCAGGTCTTCTCTTGACGATCTGTTTTTTCTTGTTTCATTGTTTGCTGTCTACGCACTACTAGAATCAAGGCAAGCAATCAAGTGCCGCTGTATCGGTTGTGTGCGAGGATAAATTGCTTGAAAACTGTAATCATTCAAAGAAGAGAAGTGAGAAACTAAAGATGATAATGAAGGAACAACTTCCTGTTACGTTTTGAGGGTGTGGTTGGCTAGGACCCAATGTAAACCAGTCTTCATAGATCAGATCTAACTGCGAGATTAATCCTCAAGATAATATTGTCAAAGGTCATATTGCAAGAAGGCAGAAATAAAAAAAAAATTGTTTATTATCTGTTGAGCCTAAGTTATGTGGAATTTTAGGTTGAAAGTTTCCGTTGAAGGAAAAACATGATGTTGTATTAAAACATAACCACCCTCAGTTGTCCGTTTGCGATCGAAGAGATGCGAATTCAGTAGAGTTGGTGCACCTTTACGTCTTAAAGCAAGCGGGGAAATCTCCAGATGTAAACAGGTTTTTAAAGTTGTCGTAAAAGTTAACATTATCTGCAGATTTTTCAGCCACGTGCGATCTGACGAGGCTTTGAATTTCAAAGGAGTTTTAAGGTTTACCACTACGTCATAGATCAACCATCCCCTCAGGTTTTTTACTCGCGCTCGCGCGACTACGGCCGTTTTCGGACGATTTCACCAGCCGTACTACTGTAGACCCATATTCACTGACTGTTGTAGGAACTTGAAAGAGAAGTTGCCCAGTATCGTACCATGTAAGGGAATCCGGTTTCCGAAATCCAGGAAACATCTGCTTGCGGAATCCATATCCGGAGTCCGGGAAAATTTTGTTTGTGGAATCCGGAATCCCAGGCTTTGGATCAGGAATACAGCTCGGGGAATCCGGAATCCCACTAACGATTGCAATCCAGAATCCAAGTTCCACTGACAAAGAATGGGATCCGGAATCCACGGCGCGGAATCCACAATCCAAAACGGTGTTGGATTCACTTATATGGCTTGACCAGTAACTACCTTAAACATCGAGGGAACCAATAGGACAATCAGCATGCTTTTTGAAGACCAGCAATATTGAGCAAACGCCAAAGAAAATCGATTGTCCGTATTATATGAAGCTATTATAGGGAAGTTAGGCCAAGGAGACAGAAAGGAGAGATGGAGAGGTGCTTGTAAGGAGGGAGTCTGATTAAAGCATCGTTTTTCGTTTATTTCCGCCCTGTTTCTTAAGATTTCATTGAATCAAAAAATGGCATAATTAGTTTGGAGTCCATGATTCAATAATTTTTGGGGAAGTTTTGGATGATTTTTCGAATGTTTTAAATGTAGAAAAATTAGGGAGGAGGGGAGGTATAAAAATTTTGGAAATTTGAAAATATTGGATTGGGGGTCAGTGTTAATTTGAAGTGAATTTTTAGTAGACAAATACAAGATAGTACACCGCCACAACAAGGTGCCTCTGATCCCATTAGCGGACTAATGGGTTCTGGTACCCTGAGGCCTCCATCGTCCTTAAAACTTTTAATGTACCTTGTCGTCTAGAGAAGCATTGCCCGTTCTGAAAAACGCAATAGACCCTTCCCACATTCCTGTAAACAAAAGCACTAACGCGAGGCTCGAGTGGACAAAATACGGTTATTTATATCAAATTGTCCCTGACCCGAGCATCGTCCTCATTTCTTTATGTTTGCTCACTGGAGCGTAATGCGGGAAAGGTCTATGGAGGGTCGAAGGGCTATTTCCCATTTTGACCAAACCTCATTGAAATCGCTTTATTAATTTTATTAATACAGTGGAAGCTCGATGTAAAGAAGGGCCAAGGGACTGGAAAATATCTTCGCTATAAAGAGGTTTCGTTATATCGAGGGTCTTTTCCCGGGCATATATTTTACTATTACTGAGGCGAGGAATATCATGCGTCCGTTCGTTATGTAGGGCGGTTCGTTATATCGTGGTTCCATGTATACTCTTTGCATAAAATTCGTAGCCATACGTTCCAGTATTTCTCCAGGGGTGCCATTTTTTGGTGACAAGTTGGGCATTTTAGTAACTGCATCCAAAATACAGAAAACAGCTTATTTAGATACAAACTTGCATTGTTTAATTACTATGAGTATACAATATTAGAAAGGCAACAATTCTTTAAGTCATTTTTGATAGCCTCTGTACAGACTCCCCCTCCCCTCAGGAAAAATCCTGAGGGGAGGGGGGTCTGTACACAGCCTAATTGTCGACTACTCCATATTACTTTGAGGTGTGAAACTGAAAAAAGTCAGCGAGGGGATTTAAATTTAAAGTATCCTGCTACTTAGCAATTTCTATATAGTCCAACCACCTCTCGACTCAAAGTAACAAAATCACTTTTCCAATCAAGGCACTATGGTAAGAATCTGTCGTCAGCTAAAACCCTTCACATAATGCTATTTGTTTCGAGGAAATCAAAAGATTTGTTTATAGCTTAGTTTATTACTGTAAGTTAATTTACACGCCTAGTTGCGGGTACATCACATTCTCCAACGAAAAAATATTCCGAATCCAAACTTATGAAACTAGCTATTCACTTGCTATTCCGTAACATCTAAGTTTCCCCAGAGTGTGGTAGCCTTTCTCATCATGACCACCGTATTCTGTTGTGTCTCCAAACCTGAGCTGTTTGACTGGCAGTTGTGTCTTGTCCGTGAGAAGACCGCTGTCCTCACGCCACACTGCGTCATTCTCATCACAGTTACATTTTCTCCCGGAGTTTGCACATGAGTTGGTCATTCCGCATGCGCACTTATTGCTTCCCGGCGAGGCTCCTCCCCAATATGTCATTTTAGAGGAGTTACGTGACACCCACCAGCCTGTGTTGCTGAGTAGGATAGAATGATAGCATTCATATTTGATGAACTGCTCACAGGTAGTAGACACATCAGTAAGTTTCGCCAGCTGCGAAAAAGTTGCTCCTGGGTAATGAATATTGCGTGAGTATTCACCATCTCCTTCATATCCGTCCACTAGTGTTCTGCTCTCACTGTCATGACTTATAACTGTCACGCCAACTCCATTTTTGTCGCTCATGTCACAATACACAGTAAACGATGCCAGTCCTCCGTTCCCATCTGGGTCAATGACGTAACTTCCGCTCGAGCTACTGATGTACTTCCGTACCACAGAACAGGAAGAAACAGTTGGAGTCTTTATTTCAACGATTGCTTCGATTGTTAACAAAGCATTGCTTGCTCTACAAGTGTATGATCCAACGTGTGTATTTTTCACGTTGGAAATAACCAGTGTGTTGTTCCGTAAAATGTTAGAATCAACCGGAAGTAATGGATTGCCATCCTTTAACCATGTGACTGTGGTGCTCAGCTCACTTTCGGTTACACAAGGAAAACGAACAGGGTACCCAAGCTTAGGAGTAGTTTCCAATGGTGGACGAGCTTTAAAACGCAGACGAGAGAAAACCATCAGTTGAGCTGTCCCCTGAACAGTTCCAAGAATATTCTTTGCTCTACACACATAGGTTCCTCCGTCCTGTTTTTTCACGTCGTTGACTTTCAATGCTGTAGAACTAACCACAGCTCCGACAGGTAAATCACCGATCGCTTTTGACCACGTGATAATAGGCTGCGGCTGACCAGTAGCACTGCAGGCAATGTTGATGTTTTGTCCCTCCTCCGCCATCACTCGACTGGAACTGATTGATAACCGCGGAGCAACTGTTGAAATATAACCAGAGAAAACAAATGAATGAAGATGAATGCTTTAGAACTACCAAGTCTTGAAGAGACGATTTGCTTTAATTACTCTAGTGCCTACTTGTTGTTAAAATGCACCAATGTTATAAAGGCAAGGATTGGGAAGTTATCTTTTGACACGAATTGTTCGCATAAGCTTCCAAAAGACTTCGTGAGCGATAAAACTTACATTGCACTGTTAATTGTGCTGAGGCGTTAGCACTTCCCAGCAGGTTTTCTGCGCTACAGCTGTAGATTCCAGTATCTTCTGGTTTTACATCTTTTAAGATCAGAGCGTTACTGGGTCCAGTCACGTAACGCCCAAGAGGCAGAGTCGTTCTTTCCCTGGACCAGGTGACCCTCGGTTGTGGATATCCGTCAACTGTACATTTCAAAACTGCTCTTTGGCCTTCTTTGACTGTCTTTTCAGCAGGAGCTTCGATGAAAAAGGGGGCGGAAATTGACTTTCCCTGTTCGCCTTTCTGACCCTTCTCTCCTCGAGGGCCTCTTGGTCCGGGTGGTCCCACATCCCCCTGTACTCCTGGATCTCCCTTTATTCCCATTAGTCCTGGAATTCCCTGGGGGCCATGCTTCCCAGGGCTCCCGGGTCTTCCTCGGCGGCCCGGTTTTCCTCTTGGTCCTGCACGGCACAATACGTGATCTTTAGCGCAGATTTGGTTCTGTAGAAGTCTCAGCTCGTCTCGTATCAGCAGTTGTACATAAGAAGGTGTTACTGTGGGACCACCATGTCTAATGGTCGATGAAACACTTCGCTTTTGCCTTAAATTGCTCTCTTTGTGACCTAAACGAGTATCAATGAAAATAAAAGAAACATATTAACTACTCAAGCGACTTCAAAAGCGGTTTAATTTCTATCAACAAACGTCACCCTTCGCTATATCGACCGAGTGTCGACCGCGACTATCGACCGCTATATCGACCGATAGATCGGTCGACACTACCTACAGTAAACATGATCCGTTAAACCTACCCGTGTTTTTCTGCCAGGTTTTGCCTCTCGGATCTCCCCAACGTTTGTAATTCTGCTGAAGTTTTCGCAGTATTTCAGTCTCCATCTGATCATAGATTGTCGTTGTTTGTGATATCAGCCGTTGTTGCTCCTGAATCCTGAATTCCACATGAATAATTGCGATACTACAAGCGATGGACAGCACCAACCCAGTCATACAACACAAGCGATCGAGCGGTGTTCGTCTGCTCTTTTCTTTACAATCTGTTTTTTCTTGCTTCATTTTTGTAACTGTACGAACTACTAGAGTCTTCAGGCTAAAGCAATTGAGTGTAACTATATGATTTGTGTGCGAGGATAAAATTACTTGTAAAACTGTGACCAAAGATAGAAATGAGGAAACAACTTCCTGTTATGCTCTGGGGTGTGGTTGGCTCAAACCCAAGGAAATCAACTCTTCAAGGGTGAGCTCACGCCAGCTGATGGTTCCCGTGATGGTTTTTGTGTAAATAACCATGATTACTTTTTCTTTAAAGGAAATAAAGGGAGATGTAAAGAATCAACCATAAGAGTAGTTAATTTAATAAATCATACATGCTTCCAAAATTATAGAGCCAATAAACTGCTTGCTTAATTGTTTGACGTGTTTTTTGTTTTCAATTAACCCTTTGAGCCTTTAGAGTAATCAGCATCAAATTTCTCCTTGTATTATACATGCTTTGTAAAACAGAGTGGACATGAGAATTGCAGACATGATCATACAACCAAGTCAACTAAGATGAATTTGCTTGATATTTTATCAACTTCTCCCCACTACTTCTGTGGGAAATGAAAAGGGGCAACAAATGAGGATTCAGATTTTGATCTTAAGGTTTAAAGGGTTAAAAATCCAAAAAACTGAATACCAGTGGTGTATCTTGTGACCAATAATAAGTCACAATGGACCAGGCTTTTAGAGCACGTGTTAGCGTATAGTGCAACTGGAAACCAACTTTGGGATTGGAGCTCAAAGATTCCTTAAAGGTATATAATTATAAGCCTTCGATTCTGTCGATAGTATCCGTTCCAGATGAACATTTTCTGTGAAAACCAAATACCAGCCTTTTCATGTTTCATTCTATTGCGAATAGTTTAACTAGAGCTGATATGATTTTCCTCCAAGAAAAACAGCAAAATAGCCGTGTATGCGGGAGTCGGTGTGGAATATATTCCTTCCTTAAAAGCGCGCGCAGACTTTTTGTAGGGTTCGGAGGATCACGTATTGATTATACGGAGACCCTAAGAAGATTTGCACCCTCTCTCATACACTGCTCTAGCCTGAGTTCAGGCCTTCCTAAGGGGCTAGGGGAGAGGAGATTTTAGATGGGGGAGGGGGGAGGGGGAGAAGAGAAAGGAATCGCTTGACATCTTTCCCCTTTTCTCCAGAAACGCCTGATACTCAGGCTAACACTGCTCTTCCCAAGCAAGCCAGTATCTGAGCGATTCTGTCAGACGGGATTGAGGTTTAAAGACGCCAAAAAAAAAAATCGTTATGTGCGAAAAAAAATTGCTTTTGTTGTTCGCTTCCGCCTTTTCACCCCAACACTCAAAAAGACTGTTGCGTGACACATTGCGTGAAGTTCATGTTACCAATCACTCATTGTTTTAATAACATTAATCTTCTCACGCTTGCTGTAGGAATTTCATTTTTTCAAGACAAAGAGAGCGTTGTTTAGTCGACGATTGCATTTTTGTGTGTTAACCACTTTAAAAGATATGCTATCGAAATCGTCCCATGGTCTCGGCTGCTCGCTCAATGCTTTTAGTATCTGTTTATCTTCTGTTACTCTTCTGTTTGGCTTGGGTGGATTTTTGCGGGTAGAAATAAAACTCGCCGATCATGATGCGAAACTGTATGCTGTGCAGCAACAGTGCGTTCAACAAACTGCAAATTATTCTCCGCATTTTCAAGGTAAGAAAGTAAAGCTATATATATTTTTGGCCATATTCAAATAAAGAGAAAGTTGTTTATGATTATTCATTTTATGATCGTTTTGTTCTGCTTTTCGTTTTCAAGTCACAGGAGGGGCTTTCATTTCTAGGGGATAAACTTCCATAATTCGCACAGGGACTTGCCACCGGAAAGGGTTTGGTTTATTGGCCTCTCGTCCTTAGAAGAGAAGAGAGAGCCACCTCAATTTTGTTTGTTTTTACCCCTAATAACGTAATCGTTTGGGAAAGCGGTTTTACCTATCTTAAACTGGGGACACGCGGGCTCCAGAGGGTCAGGTACAACACAGAGTTTATTTCATTATGGCGTCAAATGGACGTGACTAGACAGGGGCACCCAACGAGCATATAGGTCAAAACCACTTAACCAGAGCATTGTTGAACGTAGGTATAGGCATATTTTTATCCCCTAAAAATTTTTCATCTGTTCGAATTTCGTTGCTGAAAGTCTAGTGATCCGAAAATTAAAGGGATCGAAACTTACCTTTTCGAAAATTTCAGCCAGAAAAAAGGCTACCGAAAATTCTAGGTGACCTTTTTAAGGTAAAAAAGGGTTAAAAATGGGCACTCACACTATTTTTTAGAAGTTCGAAAATCCTAGGAGAGGCTGGTCAGCAAGAAATTTTACAACAAATGTTCCGAAAATTCTAGATCTCAAATTGTCTTCCGATCAGATACTTTCCGAAAATTGACGTTGGGTGCCCCTGACCAGAACTACGAAAGTTGATTTCTGTTTTTCTTTCACGGCGATTTAAACAACAATAGACCAATAATTGCAGAACAAAACATGAAGGATTATACCTTCCTATGCAGACGTTCTTAGGGCCTTGTCTCGCGTTACGAAGCCCAGTGAGAACGTTTCCGTGGGAGGCTAGAAGGATTCAGGTGGTGGTTGCTAAATGCGCCATCGCGTCAAAAGTTTTATTTGTCGCCTTTTCTTTCTAAGCAGAGTCCGATTTTCAAACCAGTGAGATCATCAGTAGGGAACGTCGCTCTCAATCGGGATTTCCAGTTATCAACGGCAGCAGAAGGGACATGGACGCTATCGCAGCTAAAAAACTGAGAGAAATAAGAGAGGAAATCAAGGAGAACCTTAAGAAAATGAAAGAGGAGAATACGCGAGTCTGCAGGACTGCTCTTGGCTCAGTAAGAAAGACAAGTAACAAATTAAACACGAGATATCCAAGCACCGAGAAAGGTGTTTCTTCTGATATCCAAACACCGGTACCCGAAAAGTAATATTACAGACACGAGAATGGGTGTTTTATCTGATATCCAAACACCACGATTTAATATAACAAACACGAGAATGAGTGTTTCATCTGATATCCAAACACTGAAAAGTAATATAACAAACACGAGAAGGGGTGTTTTATCTGATATCCAAACACCAAGATGTAATATAACAAACACGGGAAGGAGTGTTTCATCTGATATCCAAACACCGAAAAGTAATATAACAAACACGAGAAGGGGTGTTTTATCTGATGACCAAACACCAAGATGTAATATAACAAACACGAGAATGAGTGTTTCATCTGATATCCAAACACTGAAAAGTAATATAACAAACACGAGAAGGGGTGTTTTATCTGATATCCAAACACCAAGATGTAATATAACAAACACGGGAAGGACTGTTTCATCTGATATCCAAACACCGAAAAGTAATATAACAAACACGAGAAGCGGTGTTTTCATCTGATATCCAAACACCAAAAAAGTAATATAACGAAAAGGGTTTTTTTATCTGATATCCAAACACTGAAAAGTAATACAACAAACACAAAAAGGGGTGTTTTATCTGATATTCTCAAACTCATTAATAATTCATTAAGAAAATACAAAGGAAATTAATGTTTAATGAGTGTTTGGAAATCGGATGAAACACTGCTTAGTATTTGCATCCTTAATTTCTCCTTCAAAAATGAATTTGTTTGAGAAGAAATATCAAAACAAACACCAGAGATGGAGTGTTTCCGCTGCGCGTCGATTTTCAATCGGTGTTTCATCTGGTGGTGAAACACTGCATCTCATGTTTGATATATTACTCCAAACACCGAAAAGCATTTAAAATTCCAAGAAGGAGTGTTTCATCATGATATCCAAACATCGAGAGTTAATGTAACAAACATGAGATGGAGTGTTTCGTCTGATATCCACACACCAAGAATGTTACAGGAGTAAACACCAGAATGATCCAGATCCAGACACAGAAGAATAAGTATAAGGCTATGTTCATCCGGCACTATATGGGACAGCTTTTTTCGGCGCCATGTGAAAAAGTGTGAACACCTATCCTGTATGTGACTTTCCACTTTTTTCTCCCATGTTTAGGTCACACTTGGAAATTTCTTCAAGAGAATCAAAAGTTAGTTTCACTCTCCCCGACTGTAACCATAATAAGCATGATTTAGGCACATCCTCCAAAAATATTTCTGCCAGGGTTAGCTACTAACAGGGATAATATTAATTTTCAGAAATGCCTTCGCGGACCTCCTGGCGAACCGGGCTCAAAGGGAGAAAAAGGAGATAAAGGACTCAAAGGGGACAAAGGGGTCACCGGGGCCCATGGAACTCCGGGTGTAAAAGGACAAAAGGGTGAAAAGGGAGCTCGGGGGATTCAAAGTTCCCAATCCCCTCGGGTCCTGGTATATCCGCCAATATTGACTGTGAAGGAGAATCAGACTGCAAGATTCCATTGTGTGGCTTCTGGTAGGTACAAAATGAATGATGTGCTTAATAAGAGTGGAGGGTAGAAGCTACGATGAGTTGTAATAACTGCTTAGTTACAGTCACTGCTTCCTTGTGGTGTTGTGTAATGATTTATACAAAGTGATTCTATCTTTTGAGTCTGTTGATGAAATCCTAAAGTGTGACCATTCAAATGAAAGCTTCCAAGCAGTACTTTCCTGTGGTACGGTTTATTATGCTGTACAAGGTGGTACTAACTTTTGAGTCTGTAGATGAAATCCTAAAGTGTGACCATTCAAAGGAGAGCAACTTAGCTGCAGTTTCCTCTGGTACTACTTTCTTAGCTTACAAGGTGGTTCTAACATTTGCGTCTGTAGATCTTTCTTTTGAGTCAGTAGATTGATCAATCCTGAGCTGAGACCATGCATTCAGATAAAACCTGTTGATGAGAATAATGATAAATTTTTTTTTTCTTTTACTTACAGGACGACCAAAAATGGTGCTTTTCCGCTATTAGCCTGATGCTGCTTGTTTGTTTTTGTTTTTAATTTTAATGTACTTTTTGTCTTCTTCATCATCGCCATAGGTGACCCAAAACCCATCATAGCGTGGCGTAAAGATGGCAAAGTGCTGAGGAATAGCCAGAAATACTCCGTAAGACGGAACGGCGCACTGATTATCACGCATGCTCAGTACAATGACAGTGGACGTTATGAATGTGTAGCGCGGACAAACTGGGAACAAGCGGATGGTTTCACGAATCTTATGGTCAAAGGTAGGCGTGAGGAACGGAAAAAATGAAAGGAAACGCTACTATTTGACATCAGTAAAATCCAACTAGTGGTTTATTATCAATGCTGCGTTCTGATTGGTTGAGCTACTACTAGGCTATATGTTGTAGCCCACTAGTAGCGAAAAGCAAAAGGCTAGCTTTAACTAGCTAAAAAAAATTTTTATTCTCGATGTTTTTGACCAACTAGTTGGATTTTACTAAAACAATTATTCCTCTCGCCCTCATGGCCTCTGAGTCAATAGCCCATTAGGCCGACTCAGAGCCCATTCGGGCTCGAGGGATAATTGTTAAATATACCCGTGCTACAATCGTTATTAGCATGGTTTCAAGTTTCACTTACCACTTAGGCATGTAGTGGTCTATTTTCTTCCCTGATTAAGCAAAAAGTCAAAGAATCCGCTGAGCAGACCACTGAAGGATGAATGGAAGAGGAGAGAATGTTGAAATTGAAATAAACCAAACAAACGATTTAATTAGTTTCACTATATCGTACGAACACTCTTATTCTTCGCACATTTCAACTTCAGTAAAAGTAAAACACAAACTGCGGTAACAAACATGATGAAACAACGCTGGTTGCAAAAAACCCAGATTTTAAAAACTTGACGTTTCGTATGTAACAACATACATCTTCAGAAGTGACGGTTAAACATGTTAAAAACATTACAGTAAAATTTGAACATCTAGAAAAAGACTGGATACTAATAAACAGGTAAAAACACTAACTCATGACAACAAATGATGATGACAGACCCAATTTGAAGTCTGCAGGAAATTATAATATATGATGCTAGAAGAACCCTTCTCCATTTATCCTTGTAATTTGATATTAAAAACTCAAGAATAATATCTTAATATTGATATATAAGAGCGAAAAGCTAGTATTATGTTATTTTGGTCTGTTTATAACAGTCTAAATTTATCACTTATTCTATATTATCATGGTCACAGTATCTCCTCGCATCAAACGACCCTCTCAACCCGTAATATACGTCACGAAAGGAAACGACGCATTCTTCCCAAAGTGCATTGCTTTTGGCTATCCCTTACCAACCGTCACGTGGTCTCGAGTCTTCTCCACTTTCCCGGAAAGAAGCAGCTTCACTAGTGATGGCAATCTCACCATTGTCAACACTACCACTGGGGATTCTGGGATATACGTATGTGAAGCTGTGAATACCATTGGCAGAGCCCGAGTCATGACGCAGTTGGTTGTTCTCACGGTACCAAGCTTCACAGTGAAACCGCCAGAGATTCTCACCGTCAACACAGGTGAAAATTTTCGCTTAAGTGAAAGTGCGTCCAGGGAAGAAGGGTTACTCGGCTACACTAGCTATCATGGGCGAGTCAACTTATATGCATTTCCCTACAAAGCATGTTTAACCGTTAACACAAGAAACAAAAAGCTGGCTCTGCTAGAAAGGTGACCCACCTAGCCGGGTCGCCGTTTTACGATTGTAGAGTCAGCCTCCTAGCTTGGCCGACGTTTCTTCAAATAAACACTTTGGCTGGTCACAATCGGAGCATGAACCAGCGCTGTTATCTCAGGCAAAGGGGTCGACATTTCGTTTCCCTATAAACAATCTCTAAAGCTGACTCGGCTGGGAGGGTGACTCTCTTTCCCGGGCAAAAATCCCCCCAAAAATCGAACCTGCGCAGTGTGAGACTCTTGTCCTTACTCCACCCTTACTTAAGGGACGTGCATGTTTCCACAAACAAACCCCTTCCCATTTTCAGTATGTCTTCTAAGTTTGTGTACAGTCATAGTGATATATCCGCAAAAATATTTCACGTTCATGAATTGTCTCCTTAATTATACTGCAAGAATGAATAGCGCAAAAGCTTTAGAAATTCACGTGTTTATCTTGTCTGACAGGTGATATACTGAAGGTCAATTGCAGCGCACAGGGTGATCAAACCTTACGTATCACTTGGAGTCGTGAGTACGCTGAGCTCCCTGTGCGTAGGGCGACTGTGCGCGGAGATGGGACCCTGACCGTCACTCAGCTGGTTCCTGAGGATGCTGGGAAATATTTCTGTACTGCAAGTAGCGTTGGTGGTGCCATCAAGATAACCGCTGACATGAACCTCATTGTCTTAAAGAGTGAGTGTTATATTTTAATTTTTTGGTTAGTGACTATACAGCTTATGGACGTTTTGCGCAAGTTCCAGATTTTTTTTCGAACCCTCCAAGTCGGCGGTACCCTATATTTTTACTTGTGAATGTTTTTTTCTCTCGTGGCATGGGCTCCTGCGCGCCGCTATTGAGTGCGAAGTACCTGTGTCGGGTTCCGAAGCTACGGGCGGAGCGAAGCCGAGTCGCTATAGAACTTGACCGAAACCAGAAACCCACGCCTGACAAGTCCCGCGCGCATAAGCTAGGGTAGTCGTGCGTATCCTCGACATACAGTGAAGATGAAAGCCAGAAAGTGGGGAAAGAAGCGTGGCAGAGTGAAAACGTTTCCTGAATAATGATTGCTGTTCCGACCCTTTCTTCTCTAAGAAAATAGGAGTTCTGGGCTATCCGTAGTCCCTTCCCATATTATTCAACAGGAGCCAGTCGCGTAGAATGTAACTTTAGAGGTTAAAATAGAACTAACGTTCGCTGTCGACCAGTTTCAAGTAAAACTTCACCTATATGTACGAGTAACTGGGAAGTTAGTGTTTTTTTTCAACAACGTTACTGAAGTTTTATACCTCAGTTGTGAACACAACATGGTTCTTTTTCCATGTCAAAGTTGCACCAAACCTACAAGTCGATCAATATGCTCCGATCCAAATGTGTCCCCGAAAAATGTCGTTTCTTTAAGGAACGACCCTTAGTAGTTTGTGAGAGTTAGTCGCTTAAGAGTTTATTTTATCTGTAATAATTTGACTTCAATCCGAGGTGGTTACATGTACAGATAGGTGTTAAAAAAGTTTATACAGTTTTTTTTTCCTATATTTAGAGGGCTTAAAGCGAGGCATTTGCCCCATTCCACTCCCGGTTGATTCATGTGAGGGGGAGACTGATGACGAATGCACGCTTGACTCTGATTGTTTTGGTGACAAAAAGTGTTGTTCGGATTCATGTCAAAAGCTCTGTGTTCAACCACCACAAAGTAAGTGTTATTTATTTAGTAGGCAGGCACGTACTAGTGCTCAGGCTACCTCGTCTAAGTATTTCTGGTGGATGAATTTTTTTTTGATCTTATGACTTAAGTAGACTTGCAGTAAGATGGCTTATGACTAATGTCCACCCTTTACGCAAAGAAACGCAGAGAAGTTTTCTGTTTTGTCAAAATACGCCCTCAGAACTAATATGGTCATTGTGAATAACCTAGAAACCATGGAAGCTTTGATTGGCTAAAGGGTTTCAACGGATCCTATCTCGCGTTAACGGCGCGTTAACGTAAAATCGAGCGCTGAGCCAATCTGTCTCCCAGGGTCCTCTCCAACTCATCGCTTGAAGCAAGAGGGGGACGATTAAGAGAAAACCCTGGTAACGAGGCTGGCGGGGAGCGTTAGCGCATAATAATTTCATTACGTCTCCCCTTTTACGCCCCTGCTGAGACTCAGGATATGGAAATCGTTTGTCCTGGCCTCCTCGTTCAGTTTTTAATGCTAATTTTATTTCTTCTCAAAGCCAAGGATTGCGTCGATATCCACTACGCTGGCTTCCAAAGCAGTGGTGTGTATTCGATAAACCCTGATCGAAGAACAGAATTCAAGGTATACTGTGATTTGGAAACAGATAAAGGTGGTTGGATCGTGTTTCAAAGACGTCAAGATGCGTCCGTCAGTTTCCATCGCACGTGGGATGATTATAAACGCGGTTTTGGCGACCTCAAGGGGAATTTCTGGCTTGGAAATGATAAAATTCATCGCATCACCGCGGCCAACAGGATGATTTTGCACATTGATCTCCAAGACTGGAATGGGGTTAAAGTTTTCGCTCGCTATGAAAATTTCAAAATTGGCGACGAAAAGTCAAGGTACACGTTAACGGCCAGCGGTTATAACGGTACATCCGGGGATTCTCTAAGTTACCATAACAACATGATGTTTAGTACAACGGATGTAGACAATGATAAATGGGAGTCTGGTAGCTGCTCAAATGACCTGACTGGGGATGGTGGTTCAATGATTGCCACATGTCGAATTTAAATGGACAGTATTTGGGGAACACGAAGGCGTATAATGGCGTAGGATGGGCGCGCTTTAAACACAATCTGTCTTTGAAGTTTGTGGAAATGAAAATGAGACCACTTTCGTTTGAAAAGGAAAGAGAAGACGACTAAGAAAAGTAAACCCGCTTATTGCCGGCTTTAGAGTGACGATATTGACTTTAAGATGACACATATAGAATTCCAAACATGGTAATATACACAGGAAACCTATGTTTAAATTCGTAAAGCAAGCGTTAGAAAATAGGCACAGGGTACCTTCAGTTGAGAAAAAAAGGGGCCCTGTGCTTTTGTTCGCCCCAGTATCTTCAAAATTCGTCCGGCGCGTCTGAACTTAGTCTAAGAAGCATACTCAAAAAGGCGTCTAATTGTTACAAGGTTTTTGGTCCTGATCACTGGAATAATAAACATCAATGGTAATAAAATAATTAGCCGCAATAGTGAATTTAACGATTATGATTCATATTTTCCAACCCAGCGATAAAAAAGAGCCGAAAGAGTAACCGCAAAGACAGGAGTTTAATACTGCATTTTGAAGTCCTTGAAAACAACGAAAACTTGTGCGCCCCAAAAGGGAGCCTTATGTGGGTGTGGCTCAGCTGAGTCAAGCTAAATATGACCCTTGACAGAAATGTATCGCACTAAAACCTCAATATAACGAACCTCCACGTAACGAATTCTTGGATATAACGAACGATTTTCTTTTCCTCAGTAATAGTAAAATATATGAAAAAGAACCTCGAAATAACGAAACCTCGTGAAAGCGAACAGTCAGTCTCTTAGCCCTTCGTTAATCGAGGCTCCACTGTATATATGTCTCATTGCGACTATCCGTGTGTGAGACCTAATATGTAGTAAAGACCACTGACACGGTGTGTCGCTTCACTCAGTGACATACCAGCTTGGGTAAAATTGTATGTTAGCGTTGTGTCGTTAACGTCCTCGGTGATAAAGCGGTTTTCTCATTACCTTGAAATGAAAACGCGCGAACGAAACAGAAACAATAAACGAACGGAAATAGAGCCATTTGATTGGTTTATTGAACGGATACAAAAGTGTGTGGTGGTGATTCCCTAGTAAAAGAACCTAACATAGATTGTAGATGAAACTTGGTACACTGATGTAAATAACAAGTCAAGAAGATGATAAAAAGGTAATAAAAAGTGGGGGTCACCGTGCTCGTTTTGACGTCACAATGCTGACAAATACGGCTATTTTGGACCCTTCAACAAAAACTGCGCGCAGCCCAAAACTAGACAAAAAGGAAAGATTTTTTTCAATGATGCATGTGGTATCGCAAAGAATTTGACTTTAATGTATTGTTTATCCACTTACGTACCAGAAAAATGCCTTTTAATGCCCTTGTTTTTACTTTACGCTCCAAAGTAGAATTAAATTGGACACGCGCTATTCGACACGTGATAGCTCAATCCGTACAATTTAGTAAAATTGCCAAAAAACTGAACATAGATTTGTGCCAATTTTTTTCTCACCGAAAGGAAGCACTGTCCTTATTAAAATCATGAAATAAAAAATGGGGGTCACCGTACTCGTTTTTGCGGTAGAGCTGCAGAAAGTGCGCACCAAATGCATTTTCCTTGATTTTTGAGAGAGGACTGGGGCGAGTTTCAAAATAGAATGTATGCGAAAGGGGGAAGAAAGTATTAAAAAATCCGTTTTTACAGAATTTACATCGAGATATCACATTTAGGACACAATGTGATAAAGAAAGCGTTTAAATGAAAATCAAAGTGCATAAGCACAAATTAAACATCCACTATCGAGGTTCTCAGTGAGGAAGTCGAACTCAGCAACACGCGTACTGCTTACGTTATGCACATTCCCACCACACTGAGTCTCACCTCGGCAAGAAACAACCGCAAGCAAAAATTGCAATAGCGTTTCTCTTCGGTCAACTTCATTTTAATAATGTTACTTCACATGCTCTTTTTTACGGAGGCCACCTTGTTATGCGCAGTAAGAGATGCGCAGTGCAAAACCAGGGAATCACCTTAAGTGAACGCTCAGGGCCCAGTTGCTCGAAGCATGGTTAGCATTAACCAGCGTTTAATACCTTGACAACGTATTGGTTTTGATACTGCTTAACCAATGGTTAGAGCTAACCATGCTTTGAGCAACTCAGCCCAGGTGAAAAAATTTCATGCTCAAGAACTTTCTAGAAATCATTCAATAATTCGCTTTGACGTCATACTGCAGCACGATTGGCCTATCGAACAATGCCTTCTCCATATTAGGGTTTTCTTTGGCGGGAAAACGAAGAGTCCATGTTTTGATCTTATCGTCCATTGGCTGATAAAAACAAATAACGAACACGTGACCGAAACCATTTTTCAAGGTCATGCGAAGATCGCTCTAGCAAAATCTGGATTTCACTCCCCAAAATAAGAAGACGCCTCATTCACATAACTGCGCCTCCAGTTCGGAGAATAAAAGTTTTTTTCACTTGGAAGCAGGTCAATTAACTCGATCTTAATTGACGTCTTGTTTAGAGAGGTACCTTAAAATTGCTAAAATAAGCCCCTGGGCTTATATTTTTCAAAGGCCCTTTTTGAGGGGCTTATTTTGGAGGGGCTTATCTACGAAGGGAAATTTGCGTTTCAAATTCGATTTGCTAGCCTTATAGTTGGAAGTAAATTTACCTTTTTGCTTTGTTTATCTTTGTATTTGAGGGCAATTTCCAAGTACAAGCCCCCGGTGGGAGCATATATTTGGAGGGGCAATGTCTTTTTGTCTATATAATAAAAAGAACATTACACGGCGGCTTGAAGATATGAATTTTATTTTCGAGTGGCAAAACAATATTTTACGAACGAGCGCAGCGAGTGAGTAAAATATTGTTTTTGCCACGAGAAAATAAAATTCATATCTTCGCGCCTCCGTGTAATATCCTCTATATACCCGGGTCTATATATACCTTTTTTGACAGATACGACACCCCTTTCGTAGTCTATGGCTTAATGCTACCCTTTTCATCATAAATGTATCGTCTTTAAAATATGAATAAATTACCGTACCAGAACGTTTTCTCAACTTTTTCACGAAAATGTATCTGTTAGTCCTTTTGGGCTTTTTTACGGACCGAAATGACAGATTTCCCTACCCTGTCATATGCTTAAACAAGTAAAATTCTAACCCAAAAATTGAATCATTAGGGCGGAACATGGTTGGTAGGGCTTTGAAAACATCTTTTGTATGATGCATGTAGCGACAGTTTTTACGATCTCTCCTATTTAATTAATTTCACGTTGATAAAAAATATAATGGTTAGATGACTGCTGATCTGTTTCATCGTTACCCGGTAACCGAACACGAACGTCGTTTCGCGCGGCTAGAGATTGCCCACCATCTTGGACCTTGTGACGTGGCCATCCATATGCGCAGATCCTCATAATTTGTCACTGCGCATAGATGCCGCTTTACCTCGCAGAAGCGAAGGTTGAAGTTTGGTGTTGATTATTGGGAAGTTTATGGTTGAATTTTTGTCGGTTTTTTTAATTACTGGGTAAAGAAAAAGCACTTTCTTAAAGCAGATGGACCGCTGCAGCTCACCAGGGACCTTTATCTTGGTTTTTAGTGCGTGGATTTCATGTTGTGCCGCGTTTTATTTACCCGGTCTTGCTCCTGTTTCATATTGTGAAAAGGGGAAGGAAAGTAAAACTTGTTTGGTAAGCGTTGTTTTAGGCAGTATCAGCAGTTTGATTATTGCTAATTTGAGACTCGTTCATCTACTGTTTGGTTTGATCTTCAGGGCACTGTAAGTGGCAAAAAACGAACTTACTACTTTAATTCGTTAACGTTGCAAATTGTTGCAATACGTATTCTGTTCACTGCAAACAACTTCGGTCAATTTCTTTAGAATTTTTATGTTAGTCATCCAGTCTGCTTAACTCACAACTTATCATGTCAACCCAGCTTACCTTATCTTATTTCCTAATATTTCAAGTAGAAAGCCAGCTTATCATTTTATATGCATGATTGCCTTATAATTATTAACCTTTCTTCGAGTGTGACAACCTCCATTTTTCTACTTCTACGTGTAAGCAACTTATTAAACTTATTTAATTTACAGAGGGAAATTGTTTCATATATGTCGCAGAAAGAGCAAAAATGTTTTTTTGAACTGTAGTTTCATGATTAAAGAAACCAAATTTATTTGAAGTTCGTTTTTGATTAGTCAACCTATGTATATATATATAAATATTCCAAGTAGGATATATGGATAAACTACACGTGTAATGTGTGAAAATTAAATTCATAACTGTATTTCTAAGCAGTGAATTTTTTTGTATTAAACTTCTCTAGTATCCTTGACTACCAGTACAGCACAGCAAAAATTATGTTGTCACCCAGGTTTACATCGAGTGGAGCAAAATCAAATAAAAAACTCAGTCAATCAGATCCTGTGGTTGATTGTAGCTGATTGTTTTGTTATTATAGTTTTTTTTATTTTTTGACTTTTGATAGACTTCGTAAAACATTTTTAAAGTATGTGAAGTTTGCAGGAGGATGCATTAGTCTTAGAAAGAATTCATACATGTATATCCTACATGTACTACTCTGAACATGATCCCAGACTACTTTCGTAGGGAAGTAGATAAAAAAAAAGAGGTGAAAGAAATCTCTGACTGCGTGATTCCTGTTCTACTTGTTGCATTTACCCTGGGAACTTGAAATCTTAGTGATGACCGCCCTGGTGTTTTGCGCTACAGATGCTGCTGAAACCAGTTGAAACTTAGGCTGTCTGAGCCTAATGGCCTTGGCGTGCCTTAACCTTTTTTTGTTTTTAATTAAACATGAATAGGGAAGTCTCTGATGTGTTAGGAAGTGTTTCATGCTGGTTTTGAATCCCCCAAAGGAGCTATCATTTACATCAGCAAATGGTCGACTGCTTAGGCAGCACATATCATGTCTGTTTTAGTGCCTCTTTAGAAGAGCCCGGTTACCAGGATGAATTGAGAAATTTCAGCCCGGTTTCCGAGATGTGAAAAGGCCAAAGATCCTAGGGACGAGTTCTGGCACCAAATTTGAGAACAAAGCAAACATGGCAAAACACAAAAATTTTAACTTTTGGGCCTATCATAGCTTCAGTAACTCTTAAAGCTGTATCACTGTAGTTAAATGGGATGCTTATGATGTGGAAATTACAGCAGGCAATGCAAGATGATGCCATTCGGACCACCACGACTCATCCCGCCGTTCATCCCAGTAAGCGAGTTGAAGTGTTCATATGGCCAATTTCCAGCCTGCTTGGCGAGATCTTGGGAACCAAGCCAGCCCACCCTTTCATATGAACACATCAAAAATTTTACAAAGGATTTAGAAGTAAGGCGAGATCTTGGAAACGGGGCCAGCTTGGTCAACCGGGCTTGTATAAAAGGCCCTTAAAAACCTGTTTGCACAGACAGACATCTTTAGACTTAAAAGTACTGTCCAGAACCAAATATACCACCTCACATGTTTAGATTTATTCAGACAAGTTATATCAACAACTCACTTTAAAGCTCACATTGTTTTTTCTTTACAGAATAAAGTTGAGTTATTTGTCAACCGATTGGATTCTGTGGAGGCTGTAATTCCTTATGAATATTCAAGGTATTGGTTTACATGGATGTCATTATTTGTTGTGTATCAGTCCTGTATTAATGAAGACGAGAACCCAAGCTGCAGTAAGCATCCTCTTCCCTATGCATCCATTCCCTCAGAGAAACTAGCACGTTGAATCCATTTTAAGTATCCCACTCCAATATTATTGGGTGGTCTTTCCAGTGAGGACAACCTTTTAACCTGAGGCTGATTTTGACCGTAAAATTTCTCACTTCAGAAAAATAATAATGTATTCAGGTTCTTCCGTGTAGTGTTTGCATATTGTATTACCTTGAGGGAAGGCTAGTTGACTTATTGATCTTACATTGTACCTGTATTAAAGAATTTTTGTGGAATGTTGGGATGGTTAAGACTTAGTTAAGGCTTTGTGACAAACATTGGCATAAATCAGTATATCCAATTTCAAATAATATGATCAAAATGGAATCTTATTGAAGGCATTATCTTTTATAATGAAAGATTTAAATAATTGAATTAAATAATGAAAGATTTTTAAAATGAAGTCGTTGTTGTTGAAAGCATTATGTATATGAATATCACTACACCATTAGTCCTACATGCATTTGTCTATTAACTTAATCCTTTTGGACTTATGACAGGCTTGTACAACCATGGGAATTTTTTTGTGTGTGTACAGTGTAACTTCCATGGTAGAATGCAATCATACACTTTCAGACTGATTTGGTCATTTGTGTTGTTTTTCAGATTTGATTTCTGTGTTCCTACCTCAGATGAAAAGACTCCCACAGAAAATCTTGGCCAGGTGAACAACAACAATACTGAATTTATATCTTTATAAGTTTGATGGAGTTGATCTCAACCAAACAAAAAGGACTATTGGCACTCTATCCAAAATACATGAGTTTTTCCTCCAACGTGTCTTAATGTACATTCTCAGGGTTTTCATTAAGAATTCTAGTAGCAGGAGTAAGGTGTAACATTACAGGAGAATACTTTGAAAAAGGCTCCACGTCTAAATAAAAAAGTAGTCATAGGCTACCAATCATTAGCTGGAGATTTCTGTGTACATAGTAGACAGAGAATTCTCCAATCTTTGATGCCTAATAAACACCCTGCATTCTCCGTGCTCTGTCTGCACCAGTGCTACCATAATTTTATGCTGGACACCAAAGGAGTGCAAAATGATCACCTTTTCGTAGATAGCTACATTGCAATGGCCAGCAAACTTCAGGCTCTTTGTCTTCAACCATGTGCAAGCCTTTATGTAGGCATTGCTTAGTGGTTATAATAACTGGCTAATCCATCTTGCATTCAATATGTGATTCGGGTTTGACAGTGTGATTATTTTATAGGTAGTTGTGATCCTCGATTAATCTCCTGCCCTATGTAATTCATGTCACAAATAACTTGATGCATGATTAAAAATTTTTTTAGAGTGAAAGATTGGCAATACCCAGTGTATTTTCGAGTTAACGCAAAACCCAAACTGTTCACAATTTCTGTGTAGTTGCGGTAAATCATCCCCATGGTGGGTTATTGTTATTACTGTTACAGTATAAAAGATAAAAAGTTAAATGAGCCTAAGGCCCAAATGGCCAAAGCTTATCCCGGTTTCCTTAGCAGGAAGCATGCCTAGGATTATTGCTTCTTCCCCCTGGATGGGATGCTAGTCCATCACTGGGTTACCCCCCCCCCCCCCCAGTATGGTGTTGGTACCCGCTTGTACGCTTGTGTAAAGAGAGATAAAATGGAGTAAAATTCCTTGTCTAAGGAAACAAGGCAATGGGCGAGGCTTGAACCCTGGGCCTCCAGATCTGAACTTTGAGACGGCTTGGCCACTCATTCCTCCACACTGTTACAGTTTTCTGTTTATAAAAATTTAAATTAAATAATGCAAATTTATATTGCACCAATTGTAACCAACTGTACAAACAACTCTATCATTTATCATTGATATTTTATTTGCTTCACCACTTAGGTTGTATTTGGAGAAAGAATAAGGCCTTCTATGTACAATGTAAGAATTCATCAACCATTCATTCTGTGTTTTGACGGAACATCTGTCATACATTTTGCTTGTTACATAATAATCAAAATCACTGTCATAGAATGTAAGATTTATGACAAACAATAAAAATATTGAATTACTTTTAAGGGTCTGGATTCACTAGTTGCTTATACTCATGTAATAGTTATGACTGTTGCTTACAGCTGTATTATATAAAAGTTAAGATGTTCCGAAAACACAGAAAGCAACACTTTTGTTGTTAGTAGGGTTATTTTCGTTTCCCATATTGGAGGTTGAAGTCGTAATCTCCAACATGGTCGCTGTACTGTACAATAATCCAAATTGCCATGAGATCACTCCTGTTCACTTGATTCTTTTAATTTCATAGTTTTTGGCAACTACACTTTAGTAGGTCATTATTTCGGTCTTCATCCTATTTTTCGAGCATCATCAGTATTTTAATCAAGGACCTGGCTGAGTTGCATAAAGCAACTTCGGATTGAAGGAATAATTCTATAAAACCAGGCCGTGGGCCATTTTTAGTACCTTTTCTTTCTAGGGATTAATAATATTCCCCTTGAATTCCCCTTTGCTATTGTTGTAAGGAGAGCTTACATGTAATATGATATAATAATTATTATTGTTCTTCATCCCTTTAAATTTTGTTTTGAAACAGATAACTTTCAAGAAAGATGTCCAGTGTAAGACTCTTTGTAAGAAAACTTATAAAAATGGTGACAAGGAGCAGATGAAGAAGCTGGATTTCTTGAGAGATGGAATTGCTCTCAATTATCAAAATCACTGGTATGCCCTTCATTTCACAATGCATAATCTTCCCATTGCTTTGCTTGTTAGTTTGTGGTTGTCCTCAGTCATGAAAAATGAAAGCTCCCTTAAAATGTTGCTTAAAGTCATAGCTGTACAACAAGGGAGAAGGACAGAAAGGGAGTTTGCATACATGTACATGTAACTACTGGTGCAAAGAAGAGGGAAAGGAAAGTTGAAAGCTCAAAGAGTGTTGTGACTAAGATTTCAAGTTGCTGGGTGAATACAACAATTAGGTGGGGAATCAAACGGTGAAATTTGTAGGGATTTCTTGTTATTCTATTTTTCAACTATTGCCGGTGGGTCACATTTGTAGTAGTTGGGGCGAAATCCCTGGCCTTGGCCCTTAATGACAGCCGTGCAGAAAGGTTTTTGTGTGGGTTAGTAGAGAAGGTGGTAGTTAGTCAGAAGTGCCTTTTTATGGAGTTTAAAAGGCTTGTTTCTCTTATCCATTGATAGGATTATTGATAACATGCCAGTTACATGGTGTTATGAAGTCGCAGATGAAACAGCCAAGTACTGTTCAACAGGATTCCCAATTGGCTGTCATGTCTCTGAAGATGGACAGGCACGAGATGCCTGCGTTACAAGTGTAAGCTTTATTTGATTTTTGTTTAAGATTTTAGAAGATTAAGTCCAAATGTTGCTGTCCATTTGTAATTAAATCTATTAATTTTATTATCACAGTGTATAAACACTAATGATAAACCAGCTGGGACCTTTCATGCCAGAACATGATGTTATCACATCAGATGATGGCATGTTATTTATGTGAAGAGATCACCATTGCTATATGGTTATACAATAAATGGAATCATTGACAGCAAGAGAAAAAATATTAAAGTGAAATGGTTTGTTACAGAAAATGTATTTCATTGGCATTTATGTGATACAGTTGTAAATAGAACATTACATAGCCGCTGGGAGATACTTCTATGAAAATTCACTTTGAGTGATTGTATTGATGAATATTGCATTCGTTTGCTGTGCTTGCTCATAAGATACAGTACATTTCAACGTGCACAGAGAACTTTTGTATTTCCTGGCTGTAAGTTGTCACCTTAACCCTTCTTCGGGCAATGTATGGATGGCCCCAGTTGTTCAAACGTAGATAATGTCATACACTGGATGAATCACTGTCCATCAGACAAACGTAGTCGACACAGTTATTGGTTTTTCCCTACCATTTATCTGCTGGGTAGCATATAATCAAGTAGATACCACTATCCAACATTTGAACCACTAGGCCCTGGTTAATAGGACAATCACAAGACTTTTGGAGGGCATAGTTTATTTGTGGCCCGAGTAACATCATTTGCCCCCAAGCAGAGCGAAGGTACGAGGGACACATATAAACTGTATGCCCTCCAAGAGTCACGTGATTATCATTCGTATCAACACACAAGGCCAAATTGTACAAATTTATTTCGTAAGGAAAGATTGTTTAACATGAAATCATGTTGCAGACTCCAAATTTCATTTACAGCCCATACTTTGTTTGTCAATTGGCTGCGTGTAGTGGTAACAATAGCATGCAAGATAAGTTTTGACATGCTACTTGTAATCACAATTGATAATTTAGACACCAATCTTCTGCTGGACGTGCATTTACTTTGTTAAAACGTGGAGGCAATCGCAAACCACTTGCATGCAAGATAAAAATAGAGAAGTCCAATACTTAACAGTGCAGCTCTGAAAAAGTGGTGAAAACATCCATAAAAATCCCTCAATATGTTGATCCATACCGGTAAATATATTTTTTTAACTCTTGAAGTGCATAGTATTTCACTGACATGATACGAATAAATATTTACTTTATTTCAGAGCAAGTTTAGTGAACGTGGCATGCATTATGTGTTTAACCATGTTGATATTATAATCAAGTACCAATATGGTAATGGGCAAGACTGGGATGGTGCGCGTCTTATGTCTGCTCAGGTTTCACCCAAAAGGTAATTTATGTGGTGTCAAAAATAAAGTGCAAATTAATAGACCCTTTCATAGTTATGTTCAAGTTTTGGTAAAGACCAGTAAGATAATATACTTCAATACTGTTGAAAAGAACGCTTATAAAATGGTAAAACATAGAAACAGGGTTCGCAAATACGCCAAATTTGGCGTATTTTGCGCCAAAATTGTTCAGATGATTCCACTGTGGTTACGGAGGGAGTCACTTCGACTCCAGAAATTTTCGGTAACAAACACAGTTTTGTCCTTACCTTTTTCGCAACAAATACAATTTACATTAATTGTAAACGTTGTAAACCTTAATTAAATCATCAAATTAAAGAATTATACTGCACGACAAAACAGGAAGAGGGTAAATTACGATCAAAGTTTACTTGATGACCGCCATCATGGATTTGAGCTTTCCAGCTAATTCGTGTATCCCTCACGATAGTGTATACATGCCGGGACCACGTGCTGGAAAGTCTGATACAGTCATACTTGACTCCAAATATCCCAAAATGACTCCAAAATTTGTGAAGCAGAAGTCACACTGATTCCACTCATCAATAAAATTTGCAAACCCTGTACAAAGTTTAAAGGTGATACATCGAAGCGAACAAAGATATTGCTCTATCATTTTACAGAGATTTGTGTGGGCCCATTACTCTTGTCCACCAACCCCCTCACCTTACAAACGTCTGTAATTTATTTCTTTTGCAGTTTAAAACACGAGAAAGAAGGTGAATGTGGTGATCTTCCAGCTATGGGAATACCTACAGAGCCCAAAGATGAACTATCCATCACTTATTCATACTCTGTCTCCTTTATGGTAAGTTCACCAACTCTTATTCTTTTTACTTTCTTTGTCTCTTGAGGAACAAAACTAAGTACAGGCAGAGGAGAATATTCTTGTGGTGATTATATTATGGGTAACACTGTGATGGGGTTCGTACTACATGTATGGGTTGTGGAAAACCTGGAAAGTCTTGAAATTTAAGAATTTCACTTTCCCAGCCTGGAATTAAAAGTCGTGGAATTAATCTTAGTTGTCAGTCATGGAAATTCGTGGGAAATTAAAGCTGTGTTTGGTACATGTAGATTAGTCAGTGCAGCTAGCAAGTCAAGGAAAAATAAGACAAGACAAGTACATGTAATTATACAGCACCAACACCATGCATTTCTATACAGTCCTGAGTTTTTGTCTGTTGAACTGAGTTATGTAAAAAAGGAATGAAACCCTCGAAAAATAAGGATAGCTTTCAAAAACTATGCACCTCAAAATTTTCGAGGTGACAGTGATTCAATATTTAACGAAGGAGACAGTGACCTGTGATTGAAGGGCTTTTTATGATTTTTGGGATTTCAACAAGTTAACTAGTTTTTCGTAAAGTTTGATCGGTACATGACAAAGAACTGTATCTTTTTTGGACTTTTTATTTGCGGTTGATTGTTTAACAAAATAAACATCATTTTAAATAGTCAACTGAAAAATTAAATTTTAATATGACAAAGAAGGTTATTGACAGTGATTCGCTCCTGTGATTGAAGGGCTACTTTATGTTGAAGATTTCACCACTAACTGATTTTTTACATGGACTTTATTTGCACTTGTAGTAGTATAGTCAACTGAAAAATTAAATTAATATGACAAAGAAGGTTATTACACATGTCAATTTCGGTTGAAGCGACGGGAAAATATTATACTTACAATTTGTGTTCCATATGCGGCAAGTAAGCTTCGAAGTGCGATCTGTGGTGACACTTTTGAAATGTAAGTTGCGTAACGAACTTCTAGGTTTTTAAAATAATTAGTCACCTGATCTATTTTTGCTGCGTTGCGCTAAGATAATTAAATATTCACAAAAAAATTGACAAACGGCTTGAAAAATGCAAATCAGACAGTTTCACCTAAGATCATGGAAAACGTGACAAGGTCATGGAAAAAGTCGTGATAAGTCAGGGAATTTGTAGTCTCAAAAGAGCATGCACCCTGTGCGAGTAATTTGACGGAAAGAATTGATGAATGTTCAAACCTTTGTAATGAGTCTAAACTTATGCAAGATTCTCACCCATTATCTTCGTTGGCGAATCCTTTGAACAGTCAATCTTTTCACAAGTGCAGCATTATTGAAGGCCTAGTTATCCAACAGTTGGAGTCCCGGATTAAACTATCAAGGTCATTCATACTTAGCAAAACTATTTCCATTAACAATCTCCAAAAACTCTGTAAAATAAAAATTATAATGGATTTAGTTCATAGTCTCTTACCTTGAAGATGACTTAAAAATTAGTAAAAACATTTCTTTTTCCTTTTAAGTTTTAGCCTTGTAACAGAGCATTTAAATATACACTGGTGATCTTTAATTAATTTATTTTTATTACACTGTAACAATCCTCCTGCTGTTGTAGAAAGAAGAAGACCCAAATCATAAGTGGGCCTCACGCTGGGACTACATTCTGGACTCCATGCCTCATACTAAAATCCAATGGTTTAGGTAAGAAACATGACAATCACACTCTAAGACCTCTGCAAGCCGGCTTTGGTCAGAAAGAGCTCTCAGGCTGTGTTGAAATTCATGCTAGTGAAATAATGTGGTCTTGGTCTTCTCCAAATAAAGTGAAGATCACAGGGAAAATCTTTAAACATGAATTCCAGACATTTTGAGCCAACTGGACCAAATTTTATTCATCATGAATTTACCTTTTTGAGTTCCCCATGCCTCAAAACTGCTTTGATCTTTCATCAAATTCTCGTAACTAATTCAACAGGGAAATACATGTACATGTACAGTTATGGGGATAACTTTGCAGGACAATTATTATTTGTATGTGGCTATTGGGGCCAGTGTGAGCAGAGCAAAGCAAGTTTACTGGCTAAACTTCAACATGCAGAGAAGCTGAAAATTCCAAAATCACCATTTTCTGTTGCTATAATTATTATTGATTAGTTTATGTATTAATTAATTAATTAAGTTATTTGCACATTTATATTTCAGCAAGGAATGAGAGATAAATTTGTTATTGTGTTGGACTTACATGTACTATAAAACATTGAGTTGCTGTTATCATTTTTTGTATTCAGCATCATGAACTCTCTGGTTATTGTCCTGTTTCTTTCTGGCATGGTAGCCATGATCATGCTGCGAACTCTGCATAAAGACATCGCTCGTTATAATCAAATGGATTCAGCGGTATGTTATTTTGCCTTCTGCTTGGCATTGAGTGTTGACAATGGTCTCAAAAACACAGTTGTTTTAAGCAGATACATCCGATTCAGAAGTTGCTTTTATTGGCTTGTGAGAGATGTACACTTTACGAGCAGATCTTAATAAAAAAGGGTAAATTAGATTTGCGGAAAAAATCTTTCTCTGGTTGCTGTGCAATTTTCAGAGCTATTTTCATGTAGCATCTGTTGTTGGGTCTATCTACCCAAATGGTCACCTGGTCAGAAAATTTATTTATATCCTTCCTAAACAGAAAAATAGTTTGTAGGCCTGCATAGGGAAACATGTTGTACCTGTGGGTCAGTTTGATCTATCCTTGGTTAATTTAATATTTAAGGCTACATTAATGAACTCTGATTGGACGTCTACTTGTTGTTAGTTAGCTGGGTTAATGAATTTATTCTTTTCATTTATCTATCTGTTTGTAAAGGATGATGCACAAGAGGAGTTTGGCTGGAAGTTAGTTCATGGAGATGTTTTCCGTCCTCCAAAGAAAGGCATGCTTCTTTCCATCATGCTTGGCTGTGGATCTCAAATTTTTATCATGGTGTTTTTTACACTAGGTAAGTTGGCAATACTTTCTGTGATGATTAATCTGATCATTTTGGTTACTTTGGGCGTGCAGTGATCTATATGAAGCTAGGGTGGTAGGGTGCATAATTTCTCTATCAAGTCTCTCTGTAAAAATAATAACCTCACAGTCCTTACCCCCCACCCCTGTGGATGTTCCTCCTCTCCTGTGGACACCTCTCCCCATGGGATTTCTTGTACAACCTTTTACATGCATAAAACTGGTAGGATTATTATTTTTTTCATTCTACTCATTGTTCCTATGCATCTCTCTTGATACATGTGTATTAGTAGGAAAATATGTTATTTTATCTTGTGTACTCTTCATTTATGTTTGAACTTCGGTCTTTTTCAGTGTTTGCTTGTCTTGGGTTTTTGTCTCCCGCAAACCGTGGAGCCTTGATGACTTGTTCGTTGGTGAGTAGTTTTGTTGTTTTGGTTTGCTGCATTGTTCGTAAAATGGTATTCTTTTATGATCTCACTTAATAAAGGTATGGTTTTACTTTTTTTAATTAGGTGTTGTTTGTTTGCCTTGGGTCTCCTGCTGGTTATGTGTCTGCTAGAATTTACAAAAGTAAGTGTCAGTTTGTAAACTTGTTTCTGCACTTAGAGTGGATTTCCACTGTTGAGTAATTTTCATGTGCATACATCTCTGTAAATAGAGTAGAGGCAATGTATGAACAGCTGGGTGTAAAATGCAATAGTTGTGCAACGTTCAACGTTAAAAGTTTATGTGCAGCCTTCTATACATTGCCTCTATTTAATCCATGCACCTGAAATTTACCTAAAAATTGCATGGATCCACACCTGTTTCCACCATTTTTTGGAAATTGGTCAAATTTGTCGTAATAGATAGAATTATTTTTAATAAAGAAATAACTTCCCGAGTTGCAAGGCTTCATCTGAGGAGAATGAAACAGGCCAATATCATGTCTGAATTACTCAGAAACCCAGGAAACGGGTACTTAAGGGAGTTGAAATCAAAAACATTTCCCGGGGGGTGGGGGAGGGGGTTGCTCCTGGACCCCTCCTAGAAGCTCATTTAGGAAATCAGTCAGTATTTATCCTAGATCTGCCCTTGAGGAGAGACTATTGAAGTGATTGAAGTTTCTTCAGTGGCCAGGCTTTTGTCTTAGAATTGTCTAGACAAATGATAATTATTTTGCAAGTCTCTCTCTCTCTCTCTTGTCCAGTGAAAACGTTCATGCCTTCACCCATGTTGTTTTATTCGTTTATCATACTGGGATTAATTTGTTAACTGTTCATGTTTTTTTTAACAAGTGATTGGTGGTGAGTTGTGGAAGACAAATGTTCTGTTGTCTGCATTCTTCTTTCCTGGGTGAGTTAACATTTGTTACTGCTTTTATTCATCAGTGCAACAATGCAGGATTTCTACATTTAAGTCCTCTCCCTAGTGTTCAAGGAAAATCATTATTTCATTTTGTTGGAACACCCCCAAAAATAATAATAAAAATTTGGTTATCAAGGTTCGCCAATTTATGGCAGGGTCACGGCAGTAGCATTCATGAAAAGCTAATTACTGCAGTCCCATAACAGTCTCCTCGCTTGTTTATAATTATTGGTATTTTGTGATTTCAGGTTGATGTTTGGCATTTTCTTCCTGTTGAATCTTGTATTGTGGGCAGAAGGTTCATCAGCTGCTGTTCCATTTACCACCTTGCTGGCTCTCTTGGCCATGTGGTATGTTTTTTGTGCACCATGATTTATTACACTAGTTAAGGTCAGTGGAAAATTTAACAAAGTTAGCTGTCACAAACTTAGCGGTCTCTGCCAGTCAGTGGTCAAACTCCCAAGTGTAGGCTCACATGGAACTTTGTTCTTATTATTTAAACATTTTTGTACGTAAATATTATGAATTTTTTCTTGACTTTGGTGAGGTTTCATTTTCAAATTAGCAGAATAAATTCTCTTGATCTTTCATTCTGTAGATGAAACACTGCATTTGCCAAAAACATTTAATAAAGAGTGATTTTGTTGCTCAACAGGTTTGGCATTTCTGTCCCTCTTACCTTTCTGGGAGCTTATCTTGGATTTAAAAAGAAGGTACTATAAGTACATGTAATATCATGTGTTAAAAAGAAAAATTTAGCTTAACAGATCAAAGCCAGCTTTAATCCATTTCCAATAGATGAGTGTGGGGAAAAGTGGCTGGAGAAACTGAGGGACCTGAAACCAAGCACAGATGGTAACCATGACAACCCTGTCAGGGGCACCTACCAGGCAGCATCACCCAGAGAACCAGACACAACCAGAGGGAGGGGAGGGCTGGGAGCAAAATGGCTAAAACACTGTTACATGAACAGCGATCTGAGCAAAATTAATTGACCTTAATGAAAGTCAAAATGTCAGTCACTGTCGTTAACAACAGTCCTATTCAGGACTTCGTTCACGTGGATGATCATACTCAACCTACTGATGAAATGACTCCTGGGTTCAAACGTTTCACAGTCTTAATGAAAGTGCTGTGAAATTACTGAAAATGCAAATGTCCTGCCCTGCAAATACCCTGGGACTGCCACACATACAATTCGAGACACAGAGTGCTTGCCAGCAGTGTCTTGTGCCTAGCTAAGTTACATTAAAATGGCAGAACAGGCCACACTGTCAGTTTGGAATGGATATCATTTCAGACACTCTGTAATAAAGCCATTATTTTGAACTACAATTGTAGCTTTCTTTTCTTATTGTATTTAGCCAATTGAACAGCCTGTGCGAACCAACCAAATCCCTCGGCAGATTCCGGAACAGGTAGTTGTTCTTTTGTTTGATACATCTACTTCACATCTTTAATTTGCTTTCGAGAGTTCTTAACACCAGAAAGTCCTTAAACATTGTTGATGGGTTTGTATTGCAGGTCTTGCAAACCCGTTAATAATTTCTTTAAGTTTATTTCATCTTGCACCAAGCTTGTTCACTGACGATGCATGGATTTTGTCCAAGTTCTTTCTTGCACTTGAACAGACAGAGAAGAAGTCAAGGGCAGCGACAAAAAAGAAAGAACTAGGCAAAAATCCAGGGTCCTTGAGCAAACAAGCCTTGGTCAGTAAAGGATTCATTATGCGGCCATAAAGAGAACATTTTCCTGTGGAAGAAATGGGGGAAATCCTGAGCAGTTAAGATTGTCCCATCTTTCCTGCTCAGGTAGCCAATGAGAACACAGCGTCAGTGTCATCTTGCCCACTCGCAGATTAACCCATATCTGCTTTATTGACCAAGCACGGAGACTAATTATCTTCCTTTTACTGAAATTCCTTTTGCAGAGCATCTACACCCGTGCTGCCCCTGGAATCATCATGGGTGGAGTTTTACCATTTGGCTGCATTTTTATCCAATTATTCTTCATTCTCAACAGCATTTGGTAAGTAATTGAACTGAGCTTAAAACAATCATGTGGTTGTTTATGACTTCCCTGTCTAGTGTAAAGTCATGTCTGGTAGTCTGAAACCAGTAGATTTTCGTGCTGGGCAAGTAACTTTTAATGCTTTCTTGCCCAATGGACAGGGCAAGTCATCCTCTAAAATAATCATTAACTAAGAGGGGCAAGATTTGGCCCCAGGTGAGCAAAATACAAGAGCTGCTTCCCCAAAAGAGTCTTTTGGTGGTTTTATGAAGTGCAATCATGAGTTTGAAAATATCAGTACACACAAACTTGCTTGTCTGATTAGTGTTGCATAAGGAGAAACAAAATGTTGGTTAGTCTTCGAGGTGTAAGGATTAATAGTGTTTTGTCTTTCTTTTTTCTTGAACAGGTCTCATCAGATTTACTACATGTTTGGGTTCTTGTTTGTTGTGTGTTTAATTTTGCTGTTGACTGTATCTGAGACTACTGTTCTGTTGTGCTATTTTCATCTTTGTGCCGAGGTATGACTCACAAAATACATGTAAACTCAGCTATGAAAACAGTTCCTAGAATCCACAATCTTGGACAAAAATTGTTAAGAATTGTACCCGCAAGATGCCTATCCAGCAGGTTTGGTACCACTATGACCCTCGCCCCACCCTTGTCAGTGTTGTTCAGTCATGGGCAGAAATGATCCAGCCAGTCTTGTTTTTTGGGGAAGGGTGAAGAAGGAAGTATTTGTAATGAGCAGTACAATTGTACGTTTAAGAGCTTTGGCAGTGACGTCCATTTTTCTTAACATTTTCTTCCAAGATTGTAGGATGGATTTAGTATGTGTAACCTTTTTTTTCTGCTGGTCCTACAATGTCAGTTATGTGAGTAGTCATTTATTTCTCCATAGATCAAACAAGTTTACAGAAACAAATAATTAATTAAGAAATAACTTAAGTGAAAAAGGACAAAAATAGTAAAACTAATACATTGTCCTTATTGATGGAAAAGTATAAAAGATTTCCTATTAAGTGGATACAACGTGAAATAAATGCTAATACAGAAACAAAACAAGATAATATACAATAAGCAAATAAAATGTAACTGGTCCAAACAAACGCACAAGCACGCACACACACACACACACACACACACAAAATCGATCTATGTATTAAGTATGAGTAGATAAAGCAACTCATGAATGAATAGTGAAGCTGACAAAATCTTATAGAGTAACCATTTGAATGGGACCTCTTCGGCATTATTATTTATTTCAGTAACACGTGTTGTGTTTGGCCTGGACATTGTACAGATTTGGCAATATTTTCTTAAATTTGATTTTTATTGACTTGCCTAGCCTGGGAAAAATGCTGACAGTTAGCGATTCTACCACTGGTTTTCCCGCCAAATGACGCCTGAGAAAATGTCTGACGGGAAGTTTGGAGAGCACGAGGCGTTCGCACGAGGCGCAGCCGAGTGCAACCACTGGTTTCCCCAAGTGCTCAAATGACGCCTGAGAAACAAAGCGATCAATGCAGCAGTTAACTTAAAATTTTATTATTGATGTACGCGTCAATGTTTACGTCACTATATTTTTTTCCCTCACAGTTAATCATGTTTTTATCCTGAAACTGGGAGAAAGTGTACTCTAAAATGATCGTAAAATCCATATTTAGGTGCCAGAAAACTATTAATTTACCGAAAAATTGTTATTGAGAGAAAACAACTTTGCAAAGAATGATCTCACGCCACCGCACAGCTCGCGCGGAGATGACAACAACAACAGCAACACTCACCTCTTTTCCTTACTATCGGTTAACAAATTCAAACGTTTCCTCTTAAATTTCCTTGTAAAACACATGATAAACGCTTCATTGTCTATTGCTGAGTTATGGATGCACTCACGAGATTCGGATTGCTAAGCTCACAACAACTCGAGGAATTATGAATAGTTTATTGACGTCATCAGCGTGCTCAATAGGAATATGAAGCACGCTCGCGCTATTGAATTTGATTAGGCGAATTTTCTAGCTATGTTATAATTCCATACTGATGACGCGTCGCTACCCAGATCTGGCTAGTGCTTCTGATTGGTTGAAAAAATTTCCCACTCGGCACGACCAATCAGAATCACTAGCCAGATCTGGGTGGTGACGCGTCAACAGTTCATTTCTGCGTTCGTGTCTCAGACGTCATTTGGCGGGGAAACCAGTGGTAGGGTCGCCAAATGTCGGCTGTTTTCTCAGGCTTTTACTTGTCTAGTCATCTGAATTCTTCAACTGTTCTGTTGTATTTCAGGATTATCATTGGTGGTGGCGATCGTTCCTGACTGGCGGCTGTACTGCCTTGTATTTCTTCTTGTACTCTATCCATTTCTTCTGCACCAAGCTGACCATCAGTGGGACGGCCTCCACCTTCCTGTACTTTGGTTATACTCTTATCATGGTTCTAATCTTCTTTTTATTTACTGGTAAGAAGACCACTGATATTGATCACTTGTTGACACTTTGTAAGAGGCAATCTCCCTAAAAGTGTTCCACTCGATTTTCGGACTAGAAAAACGCGTTTGCTTTTATTACATTTTTATCGTCAATACTGCTGTCCATCTTAATAAGAAATTGCAGTTAGAATGAGGAAATCAGACTTCTCAAACTCTTTAATAATTCATAAAGATAATTCAAAGGAACTTAATGTTTAAGGAGTGTTTGGAAATCAAACGGAAAACTGCTCATTTTTGCATCCTTAATTTCTCCTAAAATCATTTTGTTTGGAAAGTAATATTAAGCATTCAACGCAGTGTTTCATCACGAGATGAAACACCTCGAACTTCGTCAAAAATACTCCGCTGCGCGTCGTATTTTCAACTTCCTTCTCGACTTTTCATTTGGTGATGAAACACTGCGTCTCATGCTTGATATATTAGGTCAAAAAACGGACAAGAAATTGGACATGAAATGGGCCATGAAATTGGACAAAATATCAACCATGAAATCAGACAAGAAATCCGGCAAAAAAAAATCGTTCACGCCTATGATTTCCACTCATCTTTTTTGTGTAAATGGTAACCCCCCTTGTTATATTAATCTCTTTGTTCTTTTTTTCAGGCACAGTGGGATTCTTCGCATGCTTTTTCTTTGTGAGGAAAATCTACAGTATTGTCAAAGTCGATTAACTTTGTTTCACCATAGACAAACATTCTGTGGCACTGAAAAGAAACATTCCCATTAGAAATTTCCACTTCTTCGTGAGCATAAGTTTGGCTTAATAGTAAACTTCCCTTACTGGTATTTATGTGAAGTAATATTTAGTACGTAGTGTATTAAAAATGCCGCAGATGAAAGCCCCTCTTTATGTGGAAATGACAGATCGAATAAAATGAGTAACTGCTCATCTTCAAGTAGAATTGCTTAAAAACGAGGGTGTAAGAAAATTTGGTTTATGTTGGTAGTGCGGGAACTATTGTTGGTTAGTTATTTCGCTGTGGTGGGGTTATTGTTGTTAATAATTATTGCTTTTTTCAGTCTTTAGATTTACATCATTTAGAGGTCACACAATTACCAAAACTTAGAAAACACCCTAAAATTTGACTTTTTGTTTTTTCATGGCTTTGTTTCCCTAAAATCTGGCAGAAAACGACTGATTTCGAGACAACTTTGTCTTGAGGGGCACAGAAGTGACCAGAAATAAAAAAAAAAATCTGTCATTATGTTCTCCCCTAGTTTTGTAACCAAGGTGATGTGCATGAATTTGCATATATTTACATAATTAGTACGTAAGCACGACCTATTTAATCAGTATAAGTATGTATAAATGGACTCGTGTGTTGCCTGCCCGTGTGTAGACTTCTAATACAAAATTTACGGTAGAAGTCTTCAAATTGGCAGCCACTAAAGGTGTCTGTGCGAGGTTTTCCTTCAAGTTTCTTAAATTTAGCAATTAGATAAGAGAAGTAATGCAGTTCCAATTACGTAGGTTTATATGGCTCTGTAGCTGTCCCTTGTTGTAAACATTTTGTTGGCTTGTGATAACTCCTTCTCAGTCATGCACTTTTTGGCAAGTAGTCCAATTAAAACGTTATCACTATCAAGGTCATGTCTAAGCAATTAACTAAGTAATTCGAGTGGAAAACTTTCATCGTCACAATAAGATTTTCCACACAAAAAAAGGCTTTATCCTTCAAATGGCTTATAGTAAGGTTTAAGAGCTAATGCTTTGTACAACATAATTTACAAAATGTCCATGTTAATTCTTCATGTTTAATATAAATCTATGCACGAGTAATGGTCATGAAGTGATAAATACAAGTGTTGCTTAATAACTAAAGATCAGCTTAGCGCTCTTGGACTCCTTTATTCCAGTTTTATTGGGCAGCGTTTATTCCAATAATTAATTGCATCTGTAGTAATTATGGAAGCAATGTGCTTTAACTTAGAGACCTCGGTCTTCCCAGGGTTTTATGTCTATCACAAATTGTAAGCTTTCATTAATTTTGTCTTGTTATAAGGAAAAAGGCTGTAGTTTACTGATTAAATATATTAAACAGAAAGCTTTAAAATGCTATTCGTCTGTTTCACACCTATGCATCTTAGGTGCTCATCTTTTCCTAGAGTAGGATAACACTATCCACTAAATAAGTCACTATCTCATATTACGAATGACATTCACTCATGTCATTCTCCAAAAAGGCAAGTCGTTTCGGATGAAATATCTGAATAACGTATTATCTCAAGGCTCTAAAGTCAGTTGTTACAGTTTGCTTGTTACTGTTTGTTTACACAAAAATAATTGCTGACTATATCAGTCAGGATCTTGTGACAAAAGTTAAAGTTAAAATGACGTTTAAAAAGTCTCGAAGGCTTTGTTTTCTATCTACAACATCCTGAAATATCAGAAATCTTCCTTGTCTCTCCAGGACATCGTCAAACATTACGTTAATGGCTTCTTCAAAGAAAAACAAACTTGCTAGAAATATGAAACTTTTTCCCAATATCATGGCTTAATCCCTTTGAAAAAATTCAAATTTTTCGACCATCTTAAAATGCCATTTTTATAGTATAAAAAGCTTCCCTTTTAAATGGGACATAGAGAAACATTACATTAACCGCCATTTCAAAGAAAATCAAGTTTCGTAGAAATTTGAGATTTTTGACCAAAATCATGGGTTAACCCCTTTGGGAAAATGGAAAATTTTTAGTCTCTATTTAAATGCCATTTTAAAACTCCAAAACGCCTCCTTTTAAAACTACAACATGGAGAAACATAACATTAACGAATAATTCAAAGAAAAACTAAACTTGGAAGAAAATCTTTTAACAAAATCGTGGGTAAACCGTTTAAACAAATGAAAATTTTTCGTCTATGTTAAAAAGCCATTTTTGTACTTAAATTAAAGAACCGCCTTTTCTAACTATAACATCGTGAAACATAACATTAAAGCCTAATTCAAAGAAAAACAAACTTAGAAGAAATTTAAAATTTTTAGCCAAAATCGTGGGTTCACCCCACTGGAAAACTGAAAGTTTTTCGTCCAAGTTCAAATGCAATTTTTAAACTCTAAAAACCTTCCTTTTACAGCTATAAAGTCGTAAAACATAACATTAAAACCTAATTCAAAGGAAAACAAACTTAGAAGAAACTAGAGTCGGTTAACCCCTTTGGAAAAAAAACAATTTTTCTACTTTTTTAACTTTTTGTTTTAATAGTCTAGAAAGGCGTTTTTTCTTTCAAGAATATCGTGAAACACACTTTCCTGGCGTATTTTGCCTAAAACAAAAACATGGAAAAAGTTTGAGAAAAAGCGTGGACTAACCCCTTTGGAAAAATCCCAATTTTTCGACTTTTTTAGCTTGATGTTTTTATAGTCTAGAAGGGCGTTTTTTCTATCAAGAATATCGTGAAACACATTTTCCTCGCCTATTTTGCCTAAAATAAAAACATGGAAAAATTTCGAATTTTTCACAGATATCATGGACTAACCCGTTTGGAAAAATTCCAATTTTTCGAGTTTTTGAAGTTAATGTTTTTATAGTCTAGAAAAGCGTTTTTTCTATCAAGAATATCGTAAAACACCTTTTCCTGGCCTATTTTGCCTAAAATAAAAAGATGCAAAAATGGCCAATTTTTGACAAAAATCATGGACTAACCCTTTTGGAAAAATGCCAATTTTTCGACTTTTTTAACTTGATATTTTTATAGTCTAGACAGGCATTTTTTTATCAAGAATATCGCAAAACACCTTTTCCTGGCCTTATTTGCCTAAAATAAAAAAAAGGAGTGATTGCCAATTTTTTTCAAAAATCATGGACAGGAGCCCATCAAATGGACTATATTTTGAAAAATCTTAATTTTTCGACTTTTTTAACTTAATGTTTTATAGTCCAGAAACACGTTTTTTTTATCAAGAATATCGTACAACACATTTTCTTGGCCTATTTTGCCTAAAATAAAAAAAAAAAAAATGGAAAAATTGCCAATTTTTAACAAAACTTAGGGACTAACCCCTTTGAAAAAATGTGAATTTTTCCACTTTTTAACTTGATGTGTTTGTAGTCTAGAAAGGCGTTTTTTCCATCAAGAATATCGTAAAACACCTTTTCCTGGCCTATTTTGCTTAAAATAAAAAAATAAAAAAATTGCTAGTTTTTGACAAAAATCATGAACTAACCCCTTTAAAAAAATACCAGTTTTTTGATCTTTTTAACTTGATGTTTTTATAGTCTAGAAGGGCGTTTTTTCTATTAAGAATATCGTAAAACACATTTTCCTGGTCTATTTTGGAAAAAAAAAAGGATGGAAAAATTGCCAATTTTTGACAAAAACCATCGACTAACCCCTTTGGTAAAAACCCAATTTTTCGAATTTTTTATCTTGATGTTTCTATAGTCTAGAAAGGCATTTTTTTATATAAAGAATATCGTAAAACACATTTTCCTGGCCTATTTTGCCTAAAATAAAAAAATCATGTTTTTATAGTCTAGAAAGGCGTTTTTTCTATCAAGGATATCCTAAAAAACACATTTTCCTAGCTTATTTTGCCTAAAACAAAAAGATGAAAACATTGGCAATTTTTGAAAAAAATCATGGACTAACCCCTTTGGAAAAATCCCAATTTTTTGTCTTTTTTAACTTGATGTTTTTATAGTCTAGAAAGGCGTTTTTTCTATAAAGAATATCGTAAAACACATTTTCCTTGCCTATTTTAAATAAAATAAAAAAATGGAAAAATTTCGAATTTTTGACAAATATCATGGACTAACCCTTTTTGAAAAATCCCAATTTTTCAACTTTTTTAACTTGATGTTTTTATAGTCTAGAAAGGCGTTATTTCTATCAAGAATATCGTAAAACACATTTTCCTGGCCTATTTTGCCTAAAATAAAAAAATCATGAACTAACCCCTTTGAAAAAGTCTCAATTTTTTCACCGTTTTAAGTTGATGTTTTTATAGTCTAGTCAGGCGTTTTTGGTATCAAGAATATCCTGAAACACACAAAACACACAAAAATCATGGACTAACCCCTTGCAGGAGCCGATTACGGCTCCTGGGGCCCGTTTCTCGAAAGTCCCGATAATTAACGGGCCCGGTAAGCTGTCTCGGTTGCCCTTAAAGATCGAGGTTTCAATAGTTTTGCATCTAACATGATAAAACTATCAGTTAGAGAAACAAAATAGAGTTGTTTGCTAGCCTGGACCCGCGCTCTTATTCTTTATATTTCGATTTGAATATTTGATTTCGGGCCCGAAAAGTTACCGGGACTTTCGAGAAACGGGCCCATGCCCCTTGGAAAAAATCCCAATTTTTCGACTTTTTTAAGTTGATGTTTTTATAGTCTAGAAAGGCGTTTCTTATATCAAGAATATCGTAAAACACATTTTCGTGGTTTATTTTGCCTCAAATAAAAACATGGAAAAATGGCCATTTTTTTTACCAAAACCATGGGTTAACCCCTTTGGAAGAATGCAAATTTTTTTACTTTTTGAACTTCTTCTTTTTATAGCCTACAAAGGCGTTTTTTCGTTCTAGAATATCGTAAAAGAAATTTTCCTGGCCTATATTGCCTAAAAAGAAAAGTTGTAAAAATAGCAATTTTTGGACCAAAACCATGGGTTAACCCCTTAGAAAAATGTCAATTTTTCGACTATTTAAACCTTTTTGTTTTGATAGCCTAAAAAAGCGTTTTGTCGTTCTAGAATATCGTCAAAGACATTTTCCTGGCCTATTTTGTCAAAAAAGAAAAGTTGGAAAAATGGCCATTTTTGTACAAAAACCATAGGTTAACCCCTTTGGAAAAATGTCAATTTTTGGCCTTTTTGAACTTCTCGTTTTTATAACCTAGAAAAGCGTTTTTTCGTTCTAGAATATCGTAAAAGACATTTTCCTGGCCTATATTGCCTAAAAAGAAAAGTTGGAAAAATGGCCATTTTTGGACCAAAACCATGGGTTAACCCCTTTGAGAAAATGTCAATTTTTGGACTTTTTGAAGTTCTTGTTTTTATAGCCTAGAAAGGCGTTTTTTTGTTCTAGAATATCGTAAAAGACATTTTCCTGGTCTATATTGCCTAAAAAGAAATGTTGGAAAAATGGCCATTTTTGGACCAAAACCATGGGTAACCCCTTTGGAAAAGTGTCAATTTTTGGACTTTTTGAAGTTCTTGTTTTTATTGCCTAGAAAGGGGTTTTTTCGTTCTAGAATATCGTAAAAGAAATTTTGCTGGCCTATATTGCATAAAAAGGAATCTTGGAAAAATGGCCGTTTTTGCACCAAAACCATCAGTTAACTCCTTTGGAAAAATGTCAATTTTTCGACTTTTTGAATTTTTTGTTTTTATAGCTTAGAAAGGCGTTCTTTCGTACTAGAATATCGTAAAACACATTTTGCCGGCCCATATTGCCTAAAAAGAAAAGTTGGAAAAATGGCCATTTTTGGACCAAAACCATGGGTTAACCCCTTCGGAAAAATGTCAATTTTTCGACTTTTTAAACTTTTTGTTTTTATAGCTTAGAGAGGCGTTTTTTCGTTCTAGAATATAGTAAAAAACATTTTCCTAGCCTATATTGCCTAAAAAGAAAAGTTGGGAAAATGGCCATTTTTGGACCAAAACCATGGGTTAACCCCTTGCGAAAAATGTCAATTTTTCAAATTTTCGAACCTTTTGTTTTTATAGCTAAAAAAGGCGTTTTTTCGTTCTAGAATATCGTAAAAAACATTTTCCTGGCCTATATTGTCCAAAAAGAAAAGTTGGAAAAATGCCCTTTTTTGGACCAAAACCATGGGTTAACCCCTTCGGAAAAATGTCAATTTTTGGACTTTTTGAACTTTTTGTTTTCATAGCTTGGAAAGGCGTTTTTTCGTTCTAGAATATCGTAAAAGACATTTTCCTGGCCTAAATTGCCTAAAAAGAAAAGTTGGAAAAATGACCATTTTTTAACCAAAACCATGGTTTAACCCCTTTGGAAAAGTGTCAATTTTTGGACTCTTTGAAGTTCTTGTTTTTATAGCTTAGAAAGGCGGTTTTTTTTTCGAGAATATCGTAAAAG